TGAAGCAAGCTTTTGGTGACAACAGTTTAGGCCAGACACAAACTTACAACTGGTATAAGCGTTTTAAAAATGGCCGAACATTGACTGATGATGACAATCGTTCTGGACAGCCGTCAACTGGCACCACACCAGAAAATGTCGCGAAAGTTAGGAATCTGATTCTGCAAGATCGTAGACTGACCATCCAATACCTCTGTAACACCTTGGGACTAAGTTATGGTACAAGTCAATGAATTTTGTCAGAGGAACTGAACATGAGGAGGATTGCAGCGAAGTTTGTGCCACAACTGCTGCAAAATGAACAGAAGCAGCATCACTTGGAAGTCTGCAGGGAACTTCAGCAACAGCTTCAAGAGGATCCAAACTTTCTTTCGAAGTTGTCACTGGTGACAGAAGTTGGGTTTATGGTTATGACCCTGAAAGCAAGCAGCAATCATCGCAATGGAAGAGCCCTTCTTCACCTCGGCCAAAAAAAACTCGACAAGTCAAGAGCAACATTTAAGTCCATGTTGATCTGTTTTTTGATATTGACGGGATTGTTCATAAGGAGTTCCTCCCTCCTGGTCAGGCAGTCAATAAATAGTTCTATCGTGATGTTCTAAGGCGTTTGAGGGAGAATATGAGGAGAAAACGTCCAGAGAAGTGGCGCACGAACGACTGGGTACTCCACCATGACAACGCACGACCGCATATGGCTTACATTGTGCAGGAATTTTTGGCTAAAAACAAGATGGCAGTTGTTCCCCACCCACCATACTAGCCAAACTTAGCTCCATGTGACTTCTTTCTCTGCCCTAAGATGAAAATCAAGTTTAAGGGCAAAGTTTTGATACAGCTGAGGAAATTCAAGCGGAAACGCAGACGGTACTAAACACCCTAACAAAGAAAGACTTCCAGGATGCATTTGAAAAGTGGCAGAAATGCTGGGATCGGTGTATGCGCTCCCAAGGGGACTACTTTGAAGGTGATGGTGCAGAATAAGATCTAGGTAAGATGTAATAGCTTTTATTAATATATTTCAGGAACTTTTGGATTGCACCACGTATATTAAAATACTTGGCGTAAAAATTCATTAAATTAGACTATATAAAACAAGAGTTATAGTAGTTAGTTAGTTATTGGAGAGGGTGGGTTTCCCCATGCACTTAGGCCTGTCTTGGTCTCTGTATCCTACCGGTACTGGTGCTTACCATCAGTCCCACCCAGCCAGCGAGATCGGCCTCTACTAGCTGAGCGGTATCTGAGCAACACGGGACCCATGGCTTAAAGTCCCTCCCGGAAGACTTGTTCCCTTAATTTTTCCGCCCTTAAAAATTCCACGACCTCTGCCGGGTTTGAACCCGCGTACCTTGAGTCATGAGTTAAGAGTTATAGTATAAAATTCTTCGAGTGATGCTTTACATCATTGAGTCAGTCATTGGTTTTTGTGATTTTGTTGTGTTCCCACCGACAGATTGGAGTATTCAATATTTTGTGTATATACAGGTATAATAGACAGTTTTGGAGGCTCGTGATGTAGATGTAGTAATATTAATGTTAATCTGAAAATGATATGAAAGTAATAGTATTAAATTTTGTTACAATTAACAATTGATTTTGGTATTGAAGATATAGTGTATTATTTACTTTATATTTAGCGGTGCCTCATCTTACAGAGTATTGTCCGTTCTGTAGAGAATGTAAACGACGACTGATTTGGTGATGTACATGTATGTTAAAAGTCAATACAACTATCATTGATATAGTTTGACGAAATATGAAATAATAGGTTATTATAGATATGTTGACAATATATTAATCATCTATTATTCCCATATAACTAACACTGAAAATACTTTGTATGAATTCAACAATATCCACCCTAATATGAAATTCACAGTGGAAAAAGAGAAAAGCTACAACTAGGAATCTATCGAAAACCTACAACTACTCGGATAAACTTGAAAGAATTCTGACGATGGTGTATACTGTACTTCTTTTGGCTTATTTTGGACTTCACCCATCGTCTGGTATGTAAAAGACAAAAGACCACGACGTTTTGGAGACTGGATCTGTCTCCATCTTCAGGTGGATAGGGAAGGATAAACCTACTCAGTTGGGCCCGTTAGAAAGAGCTAGTCTCAATCACTGGACCTCAATCACTGCAGTGATTGAGACTAGCTCTTTCTAGCAGGCCCAACTGAGTAGGTTTATCCTTCCCTATCCACCTGAAGATGGAGACAGATCCAGTCTCCAAAACGTCGTGGTCTTTTGTCTTTTACATACCAGACGATGGGTGAAGTCCAAAGTAAGCCAAAAGAACTACAACTGCTCACCTAATTATCCACAATGATTCATGTCACCCATTTGAACACTAAAAAGCTGCCATAAACCTTCTCATTAATCGAATGAATCAGTATCCCCTTTCACATATCAACAAGAATATAGAAGAGGAGATAGAACTATACTATACAATAACTACCCACTACTACTACGCAAAAGAAGAAATGGACCACCTTTACCTATTTTGGCCATAAAATCAGATCTATTACTAAACTTTTCAAGAATACTGAAGTTGGTATCTCATATAAGACAAAAAACAATATAAAACATCTGTTAAAAATAAATGATGACAGAAATGATAAGTATAATCTTAGTGGGGTTTACTAACTACAATGTGCTGACTGTCCGTTGAAATATGTAGGACAGACCGGACGTACCTTTAAGGTCAGATCCAGAGAACACGTACGAGACATAAAAAATAACGGACAAAGCTCCAAATTTGCTGAACATATACTGGACACCACACATGAATATAGTACGACAGACAAAACATTAGAAGTTCTATATATCGGAAGAAGGCCGAACCTTGGATACATACGAAAGATTTCACATTTACGAAATCAGCAAACTAAATGATAATTTTACCGAAATTTTTAACCCTATATATGATGTAAACATTGATTGATACACACAAAACATAATATACAGTCATACCCCCCTCCCCCTTCCACCACTTCCGCTTACACTTTATCTCTACCTCCTCCCCCCTCCCTCCCTTACATTGACTTTTAACATACATCACCAAATCACTCATTGTTTACATTTCTTACAGAACGGATAATACTTTGTAAGATGAGGCACCAACTAAATAGTAAGTAAATAATACACTATATCTTCAATACCAAAATCAATTGTTGATTATAACAAAATTTAATACTATTACTTTCATATCGTTTTCAGATTAACATTAATATTACTACATCTACATCACGAGCCTCCAAAACTGTCTATTATAATACACAAACTATAGAATACTCCAATTTGTCAATGGGAACACAAGAAAATCACAAAAATCAATGACTGACTCGGTGATGTAAAGCATCACTCGAAGAATTTTATTCTTGAAGAAAGCAGTCTTCTGGGATTTGGCACCATGTATACGTGTTGTTAACCGACGTTTTGGAGGAACGTATCGCCTCCATCTTCAGGGTAGAAGGAAAAATATAAGAAATCCGCAGGCGAAGAGACCGTGAGAACTTTTCAAATGATCTATTAGCTGCCCTTATGTTCTGATTTTCCCCCACATTCTGTTACTTTCTCTGCATTTACATCTAGACCAACCTCCTTACTGGCATCAGAGTTCTTTGTTTTTCTTTATGGTATCTGTTATCTCCCAACAGATTCACATCATCAGCATAGACCAACAGCTGATGTGTCCCATTTAATTTCAGTCCCACCTGGTTCTCTGTGCCCCATATGATGGTATATGATAAAGTAAAGTTTAAAAGCAATGGCAATAAAGCATCTCCTTGTTTTAGACCATTTTGGATAGGAAACATATCAGACAAATGTTTACCTATATAGAGTTTCCTATATATTTCATTTAAACACATCTTTATAAGTCTAACTAGTTTCATCGGTACCCCAAACTCTATGAGAACATTGTGGCATATAGACAAGTTGCTAGGTGATGACTCTGTATAAAACGGCTCTTGCTAGGTAATGCCCACAACAGTGGAAGAACTGTATTTTCTATGTAGTCTGTGCAGAGATGTTATAACCAGGAGGTTTGGAGCTTAGTTGTCAGTTGAAAATGGGTTCTGTACGGGAGTCTGCGAAGAGAGGACTTGAGCCTGAGGCAAAGGAATAGCCATTGTTGGATCCAATACTGGGAAACTTGTAGTAACAGACTGAGAACTCTATAAACAGAGTGCTCTAGTGAGTTTGAAAGAGCGAAAATAGTGATAGTGTAATGGTCGTTTGTAGTAATGGTCTGTAAGTGGTCAATAATTATATTCACAAATGCAAACCCTGTCTGTAGTCACACATACAACATGACAGTATTGTACAATACTTCCCTCCTAACTGAAATACTGTCTCATTATGCTCCTATTTATCCTCCAGTGATATTTATCCTCTGATGAATGCAAAAGATCTGATCTATAGTTGATCTGTTATGTGGAAACCCACACTGATGATCCCAAGTAATTTCATATATGTACTTAACCTTGAGAGAAGGATATTGGATAAAATTTTGTATGAAGTTCATAACATAACTACTACAGTTAGTTGTATCACCCTTCTTGTAAATTGGTACAATATTGGACACCTTCCACTGTTTAGGCAATTCTTCCTTACTCCAAATGAGTTATGGCCCTCAGACTGTAATGTTTCATTGCGTGCTTGTTCAATTAATAAGATAATCTATTAAAATCGTAATTCTTTTTACATCTGTGTGAAAAATTACCTCATATACATAATAAGTTATGGAGATTTAAACACTTTAATGCAAAAACACTTAACTATTTCACTATAATGTTGAGCACAATGTTTAAATGTCCACATTAAAGGGTTAAATGTAAACATCTTGAAGATTGTCTGACTTGAAGATTAACCTGAAACTGCTTGAAAACCTTGTAAATTTGGAGATTAAACTTAACGGAACAGTACATTAGTCCATTATCAGTACAGATTTGAAATGTAATTGCAATTTATTGTAATATAGTTTATGACTGTAGGTTATGTAGGAACTCCACTGCCAGGAGTGCAGGTACAGATTGCCAAAACTCTTCAGAATCAAGAATTTGAAGTACAAGTTGAGGACTCTGCTGCACGAGGAACAACCACTCCCTCCAGAAAGTACATGAGCGGTGAATTGCATGTGAAGGGTCCAAATGTTTTTAAGGGTTATTGGAAGAACTCCAAAGCAACACAGGAAGTATTCACACATGATGGATGGTTCAAAACAGGTAAGACCACAGATCTTGCTTCAGATGTTCACTGCCCCTTTAGGTAAGTGCATAGCTTGCATGATGTGCCTTTATATCAGTGACACTGATATATAGTGACTTGTATTTTGTGCCATTCAACACATACTGTGCATCATTGACTTATGGAGGCTAATGATGCCCAGTTATTAAAAAAGTACAGAATCTATTTATGTCATGTATCAATAAAACTTTGCCACACTCTTTTTTGACAAAAGTTTACCCTTCAGAATTTGGGTGCAGCTTGTACATGGGAATATTTTGTAATTATTTTTCTTAAAAAGAAACTAAATTCTTACTACTGATAAAGCCATGGTCAAATTTGTGACATGAAATGTCACACAAAGCATTATTTTATGTCGGCAATCAAATGAGTTTTATTTTCCGACAATGCAAATTTTTTCCAGGACACATATTTACTGGTGGGTGTCGCTGAGACTTATCTGGCAAGCTATCCCCCCCCAAAACTACTTGTGTAGTGGCAAGTAGAACTAAGTAACAGTTTATTTAAGAAAGACCAAATTTGGTCTGAGAGCAAGGCTTCTGCTAAAAGTAGCCCCACACTAACTGCCCCAATATATATACCAAATACCAAAATATAGCACATATGTCAATGTGAAAAATGGATCCATGTTCTTAAAATTCGTTTTTGCATTATCTTACAATTCAGTGCACGAAATAATTTATTTCAAACCACATGAACGTGGTGGACCAGTCGCATAATATTATGATTTTAGGACACATTATGTTGCAACACACTATACCTTACTCTGGCACCACACAGATGCATAATTGGTGCATACTGGACCTCCTGAATGTTTGCTTAGTAGTCGGTAACATGACCTCGCTGTTTTCCTATCCCACTCCAAAGGAAAATGCCTTTGTTCCTCTTCAAGCTGTATGTACCAGGCAGTAAGTAGTGCAATATGGATCAAGGATGAAAGCGGTTGAAGACCAAGCGATCTCTCGGAGAACAAGAAATATCTGACTTGTTCTCCGATGAGCTGTCTGACGTTCCTTGTGAGACATGTAGTGATAGTGACTCAGACGGTGGTAGTGACAGAGGACAACAAAGAATTGTGGCCACAGACAATAAAAGTGACAGTAACTCCGACGAAATTGTGGGTAGTAATATTGCAGGGACAGCCACATGGGGAAAAGTAGACAAAACGCCTACTTTGGGACAGTTTACTGGAAATCCAGGGGTGAAACAAATTCCATTGGACCCAGTGCAACTGTCTGAAGTAACACCTGTTTTTTGAAGATAGTTTCTTTGACATGTTATGTCAGGAAACTAACAGATACTATCTCCAACACCGTGAAGAATATGACAGAAGTTATAAGGTGTTGAAGTGGGTGGATGTCACTTCAGCAGAAATGAAAAAAAATTATGCAATAATCTTTCTAATGGGGCATACAAGGAGGGATAATCTAAAGGAGTATTGGTCAGTGGATCCATTTTTAGAAATTCCCATTTTCGGCAAACTAATGAGCCATAAGAGATTTGAACAAATTTGGTGGTGTTTGCATTTCAATAATAATGAACTGCAACCACAGTCAACAAGCAGGCTTTTCAAAATTCAGCCCTTATTGAACTCTTTCGTTCAGAAATTTCAAACAGTTTATAGCCAAACCAACAACTGTCTTTGGACAAATCTGTGATTCCTTGGAGGGGAAGGCTTCGTATGCAAACATATAATCCTGGGAAACTTACAAAGTATGATGGCCTCCTTGTTCATGTAGTTACTGAAAGCACTTCAGGCTATATTGGAAATTTAGAAATTTATTCTGGTGAAGGCAAAAAGTTACAAGAAACTATTGTTTCTGTTTTGGAACCCTATCTTGATCAAAATTACCATGTCTGTCAAGACAATTATTATAACAGTGTGGTAACTGCAGAATACCTTCTTTTGAGAAAAGTACATGTTTGTGGAACAGTTAGGGTGAGCAGAGGCCTTCCTCCAGATCTGAAAGAGGAATCTAAATCCCTGAAACGTGGTGAAACCACATTCAGGAGGAAGGGGGATATTCTTCTTCAGTCCTGGAGGGATACTCGTGTTGTGAACATGATTTCCACAATTCACAATTTGAGCATGGTTGATGTTCAAAGGAGACATGGGCAAGTAAAGAAGCCTATTTGTATTTCTGTGTATAATATGTTCATGAAGGGAGTTGATAGAGCCAATGAATACTTGGCCTATTATTCTCTTACTCGGAAAACAGTAAAATGGACAAAGAAAGTTGCCTTGTGGCTTATAAATTGTGCCATTTTCAATTCATTTTTGGTTTACAAGAATCTCAACCCTGATTCGAAATTGAAATACAAAGCATTTCTGATGAATAGACCAGGTGGTGGTGGCAGAACCAGAGTCAGACACAGACTTAGTGCAACCGGGCCCATCGACTCCCACCCCATGCAGGCCCCATGTGGACCCCCCTGGGCAACTCTTGGGTGATATGCAGAAACATACCCTTGTGAACATTCCAAGGGGAAGCATCCTTCTAGGCACTGCCGTGTTTGCACAATTCACAAAAAAAGGAGTATGTCTACATTTGCAAATTCTGTGTAATGCCACTTCACAAAGGGGAATGTTTCCAGAAATATCACATTCTCAAGCACTTCTAGGAGCATTGATAAGTGTTCTCCAAAAATTTTAGTTCATAAACTTAGTTAGGAGATTTTATATTAATTTTTAAAGGGAACAGTGCACAAGTTCGGGTAGTAGGTTTAAAAATGCCAGTCTCCAGGGTGATTTAAATATTTAAATTGCTGGTCCGCAAAGTGTTAAAGTCGAAACGTGTAATACTATTAGATATAACCACAATGAACTAATCCTGATACAGTTGTCTGCATTATATTGTCAAATCACTGTTTTGTAGAGGCCCTCAGTGTACCATGTTTTCCTTTTAATTTCATGTTAAAACATTCTTTGAGATTCTCTGTTTGTCCATTCTTGAAACCTTCCCATTCTCTCTTATTGTTATTTATTACTTTATTTTTATGAGACTTGAGGTTCTTTCAGCCACAGCTATGAAGATTGTTGTCTTCTGGAATATAATGCCATGTAATCTTGTAGGTATTTTCCAGTTTTTCAGAGTAACCTACTGCTACCATGTTCAGGATATAAGTTCTGTGAAGATGCAGGTGCACATTCCATTATTTTTGTATTTATTTTAAGTTCTATTTTTAAATTTCTTTTTTATTTATTCTCTCATGGTTTTTCCTTCTGCACTTCTTAAAATATTTTCGTGATAGACAAAGTATGGTGAACTAAGCATGTGTGAGTCCTGAATTTTTAAGATCAGACTGAGGAAAAAATGTCTTGAACTTGGTTTGAACTTTGATTTTTCTGTCTCAAAGTGCAAAACTTTTCACATAACTTCTTTTGCTTTGTATAGTAATATGGAAACTATCCAGTGCAGCATAATTATTATGGTTGTCATCGCATCCTTTCTCAACAAAACGTTTTCATAAATCATTGTACACCGTATTAAAAAAATTGGTTCTAGGGCCATGTTCATGGGCATAAACAAAGAGCAACATATCTTGTTGAGAAAGGATGCGATATCAGAAGGGGTAAGTGTAATGAACTGTTGTGCTTTGTGAGAAAGTGGATAGTGTTATAAATTGTGATTATTTTTAAAATACTTGTCTCACAGATAGGATTATTCTTCTTTTCTCAGCAATCAGAATTTTTCCAAATTCTCATCTCAGTCTCATCTAAAACTAAAAGGGTGTTCTCGCACATGCATACTGTGGATTTTTCAAGATGTGCTTAGGTGTCAGTGAACTTCTTGTTACAGGTCAGTATCATGTTGGTTTCAGGTGACACAGCTCGTTATGATGATGATGGGACGTACAAGATTCTTGGTCGAACATCTGTGGATATCATCAAGACTGGTGGCTATAAGGTTAGCGCAGTGGAAATAGAGACACACATCCTAGGACATCCAGACATTGTAGACTGCTCTGTGGTTGGTCTGCCAGACATCACATGGGGACAAAAGGTACTCTATGCATCGAAAACAGACTTTTTGTATCATGTTACAATTAATAAAAATTTTGTGGCTATAGTTTTGTGATTTCCTGAGATACCTGTTGTATATACTCAGATGCAGAATTTATATATATATTTATATATATATAAATATTTTTATATATAAACATATGGAATGGCTTCATAGAATTGCAGTACAGAATTATAACAGAAATCTTCAACAAATGAGAAAAGTGTCAGGGTGCGTACATCACAGAAGGCAGAAAATAATATGGTCGTTCGACCAGTTGAACAGAATGACAGGTCCAGATATCCACTGCCAACTGTGGCACCATAGAGGAACTAGTATGAGAAGGAATGTGAGAAAAAGAAATAAGCACTTGTAACTTGTGACTCTTGAAATAAGGAAATTAAGCGGACTACCAGTCATAATTATGCAGATATCCATGAACTATGGACTGTGTTATGAAACTGGTTTCACATGACACAGTCTGTGCTAAAGAAATGCGTAACATAAATCTTGCAGTTCTTTCAAGACTTGGCCAACACACAACATAGATAGGTGTACAAGCTCCAGGCCTTTCCTCATACCAAAAGAGTATCCTAAGATATGGAAGGAAATATAATCAGTACAATCCAATGGATTCAGAACTGAACAGAAACCATAAAATGGCCTATACACACAAAAGAACTGTAACAGACAAATACCTCATTGTATACAGAAATATAAGGCTTACATCAAATACACAGTATATGTTGATGGCTCCTGCTGTTGAATACCAATACCAGACATAGTTTATAAACACAGGATAATCCAGCAAAACCCAGACAAAATTTGAAACATGTCTGCCTTCCAAGGCTTGTGACAGCAAAGAGGGCTCATGTAAATTTTCTTACACAGACCATCATAACAGAGGAGAAAGGATGATGCAGACCAATTGGAAAACACTGCTGACATGTCACATGAGCTACATAACATTGCACACAGCAGAGGGATGAGGAAAAGCATGCAACATAGAAGGAAGCATGGCCAGGCTGCATAAGTAAATGGAAAAATTCAATCCAAAAGTAGAGTGAGCAGAGTAGGTTCTTCTCTCAGGTCAAGGAACCATGTGTTCTCAAACTTTGTTTAAGTACTTGAGACATAATACTCTGCTTGTGTTTGCACATGCACCTTATGTTGCATAGAGCTGTCATCTGTAAGCTACAGAACTTTTTTTATTTATTTAATTAATACCATATTTGCAATCAGCTCTCCTAATATGGAATAATAAGTAAATTTGTTCCAAGTAGGTGTCTTGAGTAGAGAAGGCATCCACTGATGATACTCTGAAATGCCCTGTAGAGGAATGGTGATGGTTTTAATCTTTGTCATCTGTGGGTTGTGGTAGGTCAGACGGCCACTGTCTCGTCAATCATCTTCTTACATTTGGTGGGTTGCTAATTTCTACAACTAGTCTGTTACTCACTGATATGTTGGGTTTTTGGACTTTATCCATCGTCCTGGTTTTTAAGATAACAAATAAAAACACGACGTTTTGGAAACTGGATCTGTTTCCATCCTCGGGTGAAGGAAAACACCTATTCAGTTGGGTCTGCTAGAAAGAGCTAGCCTCAATCACTGGACCTTTGTTATCTTTGTTATCTTAAAAACCAGGACGATGGATAAAGTCCAAAAAACCCAACATATCAGTGTGTTATACACCATCGTCAGAATCCTATAGTAACTACTAATCTGTTACTGTGTCCGAGCAGGCTTTGATGGTAGAGTGTTGAACAATCTATATATTCTATGACAAATGGGATTTGCAGATCACTGGACAGTAAAGTTGGAGACATACCAAGGTGCTTCAGTTACTGAGCGCGAGAATTTGGATTGAAGTCTCTGAATTATTTTTGTGTTTGATGGTTTTGTACAGCCCCGTAGCTGTATGCCATATGTCAATGTGGGTTTTATTATGCACTTGTATAGTAGAAGTTTGTTTTCTATGGATAGCTTGGATTTACAGCCCAAAAGCCAGGACATTTTTCATAGTTTTAAATTTAATTTCTGACGCTTTGTTTTGATGTGTTTCTGCAATATCAGTTTTTGGTGGCGGTATAATCCCAAGTATTTTACTTCGGTTTGGACTGGTATTTACATATTATTGATGGTAACCTGTGGGCAAGTTATGCGTTTTGTGGTGAATGTAACTTGCACTGATTTTATCTAGCTTATTTTGATTTTCCGTTTACTGTACCATTGCTGGAGGAGATTTAAGTGAGGCTGAAGATGTGATGCTAGTACTGGATCATTATTTGCTGCTAGCAGGGCTGTGTCATCTACAGAGCTTGTGATTGTAGTGCTGTTTGTTGTGGGCAAGCCTGCAGTATAGATTAAGTATAGTAGAGGCCCCATCATGCTTCCTTGTGATACACTGCTTTCACCTGGTAGCAATCTGAAAATGAATTATTATATTTTATTTGAAAGCGTCTTTCAGTGATGTATGACTTTAAAAGTAGGTAGTATGGGCTGAGGAATGTATTTATGATTTTATATAGTAGTCCAATGTACAAGACCTTGCCAAACACCTGAGCTGCATCAAGGAAAACTGCTGTATACAGTGTTCTTTCTTTGAGGCTTGTGATCTTGTTTACGATTCTATGTGTTTGTTGTATTGTGGAGTGTCCTTCCCTGAATCCAAATTGGTAATTGGGAGAAACAGTCATTTCTAATTCTGTTCAGTAGTAACTTTTCTAAAAGCTTCGATATGACTAGCAACAAACTAATTGGTCAATAAGAATTTAGTTCATTGGCTGGTTTCCCAGGTTTCGGTATCATTATGATGTGGGCAAATTTCCACATACTGAGCATGCTGTTATAGATGGTTGTTAGCAATACAGGGTGTCTGGATGAAAGGTATCCAAAATAAAATAATTATATCTCAGAAAGCATTTATTATACACATTTATTGGTTACACCATTACAAAGGAAAAGTATCAGAGTTTCTCCTGAGTATATAAATTTCCCAATAAATATCGGTGTGGGCTCCCTTGATGTTATGACATATCCAGATGATATTCGACCTCATTCCACGTTGCTTGAAGCATGTTTGGTGTTAGCATAGCCACAGCGCCCCCTATGCGGCTTTAAGGTGATGAAGCAGCATCAGTTGATTTGCGTGGACTTTGCTAGAATGCCTGTCTAATGCGATTGACATTTTCTTCAGAGGTCCATGTCTTTCCAGGAAAGTTTACACACAACAGACTAACTGTAGTCCTCAGTTTGCTGTCCCAGAACCGAATGCTTTTCTGTGTAGGAAGTTGACGTCCATATTGCATTCTGAAATGCCATAAGAGACTGCAACTCTGTTAGCCACAACACTCATTGAACATGTTCCTGTGGTGTCGACATTGTTACTGAGCTCGCCAAAAGTCACCAGCTAGCGCATGCTCATAAGCTGGGTATGAAAAGAAAAACTTCGAGAGTTTTCCTTTCCAATGACATAAACTCGATATGTTAATGGCAATTAGTTTCAGAGATATAAATTTTTATTTTGGATACATTTTATCCGGACACTCTGTACTATTGCTTTTCTTGGTAACTGTCTGAGTATTTTTCCTGTGATAAGATCATAACTGGGTGCTTTGTGCAGATTTATGTTCTTAATTTCTTGTACTACTTCTCTAGATGAGAAGGGCATCAGAGGTAATGACATTTGACATGGTATTTCCAGGAAGTTTTCAGTTTCACTGTCATTATGATTTGTGTTAGAATGTGGTGTAAATATCTGTTCAAGATGTTCTGCGAATACTGCAGCTTTTTCACTGTCACTTTTTGTCCAGCTTCTATCCAATCTTCTTATCAGCAGTATCAATATTTGGGGACTTTTGAACTTCTTTCTTGCCTTCCAGATTGTGTGGTCATCTTGAGAGAGAGACGTGATATAGTGTTCATATGTTTTATTCTTCCCATTTGTAAAGGCGTTACATAGTTTTCACCTTAGTCTGTTATAAAGAAACCTGTCATTATTGTTTCTTTTTTTTTCTTCTTCTTTTTTGTTCCAGTTTATTTGCAGTCTGCACTAATACGTGATTCAGTTCAAAAGTTCCCGAAATATATTAATGAAAACTATTACATCTTACCTAGATCTTATTCTGCACCATCACCTTCAAAGTAGTCCCCTTGGGAGCACATACACCGATCCCAGCGCTTCTGCCACTTTTCATATGCATCCTGGAAGTCTTTCTTTGTTAGGGTGTTTAGTACCGTCTGCGTTTCCGCTTGAATTTCCTCAGCTGTATCAAATTTTTGCCCCTTCAACTTGATTTTCATCTTGGGGAAGAGAAATAAGTCACATGGAGCTAAGTCTGGCAAGTACGGTGGGTGGGGAACAACTGCCATCTTGTTTTTAGCCAAAAATTCCTGCACAGTGTAAGTCGTATGCGGTTGTGTGTTGTCATGTTGGAGTACCCAGTCGTTCGTGCGCCACTTCTCTGGACGTTTTCTCCTCATGTTCTCCCTCAAATGCCTTAGAACATCGCGATAGAACTCTTTATTGACTGTCTGACCAGGAGGGAGGAACTCCTTATGAACAATCCCGTCAATATAAAAAAAACAGATCAACATGGACTTAATGTTGCTCTTGACTTGTCGAGCTTTTTTTGGCCGAGGTGAAGAAGGGCTCTTCCATTGCGACAATTGCTGCTTGCTTTCAGGGTTGTAGCCATAAACCAAACTTTCATCACCAGTGACAACCTTCGAAAGAAAGTTTGGATCCTTTTGAGGCTGTTGCTGAAGTTCCCTGCAGACTTCCAAGCGATGCTGCTTCTGTTCATTTTGCAGCAGTCATGGCACAAACTTTGCCGCAATCCTCCTCATGTTCAGTTCCTCTGACAAAATTCGTTGACTTGTACCATAACTTAGTCCCAAGGTGTTATGAGGTATTGGATGGTCAGTCTACGATCTTGCAGAATCAGATCCCTAACTTTCGCGACATTTTCTGGTGTGGTGCCAGTTGATGGCCGTCCAAAACGATCGTCATCATCAGTCAGTGTTCGGCCATTTTTAAAATGCTTATACCAGTCATAAGTTTGTGTCTGGCCTAAACTGTTTTCACCAAAAGCTTGCTTCAACATTTGGTGCGTTTCTGCAGCGGTTTTCCCAAGTTTGAAACAAAACTTTATACAGACACGCTGCTCTCTCAGGTCAGCCATCACAAAACCGCAAACTCACGGAAACACAACAATGGAAATATGTCACCAACAATAAAGCCAACCACTCAACTCGATGCCGCTTGCCACACTGATTCAAGAAGGATGTGTGAGGAGACACCTAGCCATATTTTTATGTACTCATAACCATTTGTCCGCAAAATTCAAATTTCAGAAACTTTTGGATTGCCCCACGTACATTCAGCAAATTGTTATGGTGTACATGACTTGAAGAGGAGAGCTCATTTGCACTCTTCTTTGGTGAGTAGGCTTGAGGCCTCGTGTGACTTTTGAGGGAGTGCTTACTATCTAGATCTTTAAACTAAAATTATTGGCATACTATTGCAATAGAAATCTGGTGGGCAGATCATTTGTCAAATGTCTTTGCAGTCGCCTGAATTCTGGTGGCTCCGTAAGGCGGACGGCTAGGTTGTTTGGATGTGCTCTGAGCCGAGTATTGTGTAGGGCGCTGTATCAGTGAATTTCTTCTCTCACTGCTGGTATTTGCTACAGAATGAATAGAATTTGGTGATCATCATGAGTTGGCATAGGTCAGTGAGTATGATGGCTGGGGTTTTGATCTTTACAGGGACAGGTGTTTTTCCCATCACCATCATTTTCATACCAACACTGGGGCCCACACAATCTCCTATTAAATGGATACTGGGGCTCTTGCTATAGAAGTAAAGTGGCCAGTGCGAGAAGCTAACCACTCACCTCCATGAAGTGCCAAGATTAATGATGTGTGGAGCTACACCTTCACTGCCCCATACATCTGCATGGCATGGTGCTTAAGCACAGGGCCTCATTTACCTTTACTTTTTGTACATTAGTCATGTGTACTATTTTTTGTTTTATGAAATCAAAGTGACAGTGTTTTTGCCACACCTCTTTAAGTCATGCAGTGTTGTGATTAAATTTGTTTTCATGTTCACTATTCATATAGGTGGCAGCAGTGGTTGTTCCAAGAAGTGGTAAGGAGGTCATTCTGTCCAAACTTCGAGAGTGGTCCAAAGAACGGATGGCACCATATGCAATTCCAACTGTGCTTAGAGTAGTGGAGAAGTTGCCCAAGAACACAATGGGCAAAGTTAACAAGAGAGATCTTCTGAAGGCAGTGTTTCCAGAGGCAGAACTGCGTGCATGAATTAGATTTAAGTAGCAGCATTCGTTTTCCAGTTTTTCGTACCCAAGATAAAGGCAACCAAGTATTGAGACTTTACTGCACATCTTCATTCCCATTGTCTTGGAGTGCCTTGTACCTTGAAGTTTTGAAAGTTATTATAATGCAAGAGAAAGACCATATGGGGAAAATTTAGAGTTTGTAAAACGTTTCCAAAGAGCTTTTACAGTGTGTCACTAATTTATATTATACATGAATTTGTAATGTGTTGACTATCCCATTAATGTTACTGAATTGCTTTATTATATAAAATCCTTTGTTTTATACTTCAACTGCCCACTGTTCGCAACTGAATATAACCAGTGTTATCCATACTGAAAACAGTGTCATAATTTGGAGATGAAGCTTACAGTTTTAAAATGTTGCCAACCTATATGCATCATTCTTGTATATGGAAGATAGGTGTAAAACACAGGCTGGAACCACTGAGTGGCACTGTACATCCATGGTGGAGTTCGGAGTTGTTGCTTTTTTGTATCAGGTGTTGGTGACTATGTTATAACATTTTGCCACTGACAGCAGATGCTTAATAACCCAACTCTTCAGAGAATTTGAGATCAATTACAGCAAGAGGATGATAAAATTTACATTGTGGTATTCCAACACATAGAATTACTTTGAAAGTTATAATAATTGAGACTAGAATACATTACATTGATATTAAATTTGCATAAATTTGTATGTCAATGTTTCTTTATGACTGATGCATTTAAAGGTTAGGATTTCTCTCTAGTGACTTGTTTCTTGTTTGTGTTGTGTTACTTATTAATGCCATAATAGATTTTGTGTGTGTGTGTGTGATGCGGAATGTAAAGGTGCCATGTTTCTTAAAATGAGAGAATGTGTTGTTTGGATGACATTACTATAATATTTGAGTTACTTGTATCGGTCTAACAGTAAGTGAGCAGAAGACTGAGATGTATTATTTTGTGTTGTATGTATTTTAAGAATTTTTTGACATAAACAAAATGTATGGTAATACTGTAAAATAAATTTTCTGTAGGTGCATGGTCCCAGGCACGAATTTGGTGCAAAAAGATAGGCTAAAAGCACTGTTTGAACCCTTCATTTGTCATGTTTCATCTCCTCTTAATTCTCTGAATTTATTGTTTTGTTCTCACCACTTGATCATCAGGCATTCTTGAGAATTTTAAAATAAAACACTATGTAGAAGTCTTGTCTATCCATTTGCATGTAACCTTGTATTTATGCCTGAACCAGTACACAGATTTTTTTAAATTTAATGTGAGAGAATGTCACTAAAAGTTGTCTGGCAATTCCAATTTTGGTTAAAATCAGACAAAAGTAACATTTTTTGTTGAGGCATTCCTGCATACATCTCAAGCATAACTAAATATCTATGAGATCAAAGAAGATAAAGAGAAATGTCACACACCTGTGACCCAATACACATCTTTTTGCAAGCACTACAAACTTTGAAATAATTGAACAAGAGGAATTTTGTCAGTGTCATAAGTCAAGAACTATTGGACTGGCTTTGATACAATTTCATATAGGAGGTCCTTGCACAAATTTACTGGTCATGTTTGTCCACCTGCCAGTGACCTAATATCAGCACCTGAAACTATGACAAGGTATTACACTTGTTCAAAAAAATTCCCAAAATAAGGGCATCAGTCATGTCCAGCTGTTAGAGTGATTCTGTATTTCAGCATCCTGTTGCAATTGCTCAACTTAACGTGCATTATTTTATCATCCATCAGTATTACAACACTCTGCCATTCACCACTCAATTTTAGTTTAACATTATACACCTTGACACTAGATGTTTCAGCCCCAAACTGGCATCTTCAAGTGTCTTGATATGTTACAAATATTTTATTAAATTGCATTAAAACTGCTACCCTGTCTTAGTTTGTGTTAAAATCACATGCTGTAGTCCTCTTTTCAAGGTAAAACCAGATGAAATCCTTTAAAGTTTCTATTATACCCACATTATTTTGGTGCATATTATTTCACCTCACACGGGATGTCATCCATTTTCATAAATGTATGTCTGTCCAGGGTGTTTTGTCTCAGCAGCTTGCCCCTCACGTTCGTAGTCTACGTTTCACTTATGACTGCCATATGCTCCTGGTTTGTGTGTTTCCTCCACAGCATGTGGTGTTGTCTTTACTAGTGACTAGGACTAGTAAAGACAGCACCACATGCTGTGGAGGAAACACAAACCAGAGGCATGTGAGTACAAAATAGCAGTCATAACTGAAAAGTAGGCCACAAACGTGATGGGCAAGCTATGAAAATGGACGACATCCCATGTGAGGTGAAATAATATGCACCAAAATAACGTGGGTATAATAGAAACTTTAAAGGATTTTATCTGGTTTTACCTTGAAAAGAGGACTACAGCATGTGATTTTAACACAAACTAAGACAGTGTAGCAGTTTTAACACAATTTAATAAAATATTTGTAACATATCAAGACACCTGAAGATGGCCATTTGGGGCCAAAACATGTAGTGTCAAGGTGTATAATGTTAAACTAAAATTGAGTGGTGAATGGAAGGGTGTTGCAATATTGATGGACGACAAATTATGGACGTTAAGTTAGAGTGACCTTGCAACCTGACCATTAGTTATTCAAGCCATTTTTTTTTTCCTTTCCCAAAGTAAACTGGACATTCCACGCGGTTCTTTGTAACCAGTTTGGTGATCGAGTGCATTGTTGCCGTGTCGCATTCAGTACGGAGTTGGTAAAGGAGCAAAGGATTTGCATAAAATTCCATTTCAAAGTAGGGAAAATGATTGAAACCGAGGACATCAGAATATTTGTTAGAATCTACTCCCTATTTGAAAGTGGGCGTTTACGTGCCAACATTTAACTGACCCTCCATAAGGCACTGATCAGGTCTGTAATAACTTATGTTTGTCTCGCCTGAGAATTAGTGGCAGACACTTATCTCTTAAAACCGCAGCGCCAACAGAAACATTGGAAATTTTCCAAGGTGTGCACTGGTCTGTGATGTTCATACGGCTTGCAACCTTCCATATGTATATCAGTTTATAACAAAACTGTGCAGGCAACAATCAGAAGTCATACAAAATCATGAGAATGAACATGTTCACAGTATATGACAAGGCAAAACCAGACATAGAAAATAAAAAAAAAACGGCTTAATTTTGGTGATGGTCATTCTTACATCCGTTCAAGTGACTAATCTGCCCTTGTAGCATAAGATACGTAAGATTTGTATGATCTGCTTTGCGAAGCCTGTATTGACCAAGAACTTGTATAAAGTGCACAAGGAAGAATTTTCAGCAACATGCTGTACGTGCAATATGCACACTTGACGGAAGGCGAAGCATATTCATTTAAGTCAAACCCAACTTCTCGTCAGAGAGAATGTTATATAAGAACTATGACCACAAGGGTTCAGTCGAAAAAACTCTCTGGTTTTGAGTCTCAAGGGGCTTGGCGCCTAGACTAACAGATTGGTGGTAAACCACCAGTCGTACAGTAAATGTGGGTTTGACTTTGACTTTCCTCCCATACTTCAGCTGCTATCCTAAATCTCAGATACCTATAAAGGGTGTGATACAGCATCTTCTAGTCGCAGCTCCTGCAAAGGACATCTCGGATGATTTAGTGAACCTCGTATTTGTTGCTAATGGCCTCAAACAAATGTCTACTACCCGGCAGTCACCTTTAGAAGCAACAACCTCAGTAAATTTTCCCCTCTTCCTTATAACTTTAATTTAGACATCGGAGTCCTATGAGATATTCAAACTGACGAGTCTTTGCCATTTTGAATTCAGGGTACAGGCGTATATAGCTCAGGTTGGTCTCATGCAGTGTTACAACCGCTAAAGTTTCGGCCATTTCTGGACTAACTGCAAGCAGCCTCCCCATTCTATGTGGTGTGGGTGTGGACACCTATACAAGGAATGCCCGGAAGCTGACATCTACACCGATATACTGCAACTGCAAGTCGGTGGACGGAAAGAAACCTCACTCCAACTATCTATGCTGCTGGAATGCCAAGGAAGGGATGCAAAAGAGAAAGTCGCCGAGAGCACCCAAGACTACAACTGGAATTGTGTTCTCCTTCGGCCACATCACCCCAGGTGTATCCTCCGCAGCAGCACACATCAACAGCAGTAGCCTCAGCCGCCACATCACAGTGGGAGATTGAGTGTCCCCACCCCTTCCTTGGGGCACAGCCAACAACAAGCACCAAATCACTCAGTTCGGGCTTCTAACGCAAACCGTTTGTGAATGACATATTCAGAGTACTAGTAATGATATGTCAGCATGTCACGCGGCCAAGGCAAACGAAGACAGAATAACGGTCATCACAAAAATGTTATTAAAACTCATTAAGCGAAGTGACCGCTAAAGTTCATAGGCGGTAAATATGACTGCGCTAGTGAGGACCAGCAGACACTGTCAACGGCAGATCTGTCATCTCGTCAGAGAGGATGCCTCATAACAAACCTGGAATTGATTGTGGGCTGACGGTATTTTGAAGGACGAAGAGTGGGTAACCTTCTTGCGGACTGGGCTACTGGTTACACAACGCACTTCGTCGTTGTTTACATGTAAATGATTCGCAGGTGGTAGGACATTACTAACGGTTCTACGTTGCCCACCAGTATTACTACAGTTACACATATATACTTGTGCTATTTGTCCTCCCCGCCACCTTTAAAAAAGGAAAAAAATAAACTCTGCTCGAATATGCAGTTGCCATGGTTGCCATCTCGTGACAGAACCGTGAACTGAGGAAATTACAAAAGGTTCTAATTACCGTTTTTAATAATCTACTTTCACATATATGAATTAAACATAATTTAACAAATGCGACTTAAAATTAGAATAGACAAGTATTAGCATTTCAATGTTTGACCTAAAAATAAGGGAAAAATGTTTTTGAAATGTAAAAGCAATATCAAGACTACATTTACGTTCACAGTAACATTAATTTCATGCATTCTTAAATAAACTTGCATGACAATTTATTGTTTGCTCTGTTCTACATGTCTGTAGATTTTATTTTTCATATCTGACGTTCTTATAACAATCAATTTAAGTAATTTAATACCTAGCTTGACATTCTTGCGAAACTATAATCCTTCGACAGCCCGTACGTCCCGTACTCATCTGTGGTAATACTGTAACCGCCAGCCGGCGTGTGGTAGGTGTGTTAGTTGGTGATATTAATGAGTTGCATGTATTCGATTAATTGTTTGCAAAGTGTCAAAAAAACTCGTAGCACCTTCAGACGTGTACGGTGCAATTGATGGATCCAGCAATTGGGTGGTTTCAACCCGAACAAGAGGGCCCAGCGAAAGATTTGTGGATACGAATTTGGGAAGCTCAGAAAGGGGTGGACAATATGAATGTTGATATAAATACACGTTTAGGTGCAAAATCACATGATTACATTCCAGTGGATGGTACAACGAACAGTGATGATCAACATAATCGTGTGACAGTGAACTGTAACAATTACTTTAACTGTAAACGCAGGAAAAGAGAAAATCGCGCAAGTACATTTGCCATGAACCATAACCAATCAGCCCTGATCGGTGAACATGGAGGTTGCCCTTGGAAGAATCCGAACAGAACATACGGAAGGGGTGTAATAGGGTACGTGGAGTGTTACAGATTCTAAGTAATAATTTGTTACGTTTATTTCAGTTCAGTCGTACTGTGAAATTGGCCTTATTATTTTCATAAAGTGTGACATCGGTTAATGTTGCTGGGTGCTGTATGTGATTTCAGCCTTCATGAAGAGATCGAAGATTTCTATAACTACATGTGCCCAACTGTGGAGGAACATGAATTACGTATCAGTGTTGTTCGTCGTATAGAAAAGGTTGTTCTTAGTTTATGGCGAGATGCGAAAGTCGAGATCTTTGGCAGCTTCAGAACAGGGCTTTATCTTCCTACAAGGTTCGTATGAAAATTGAAATTTGCTGCAGTGCAGATTTTGGAATATGCACAAATGAATATCGAATATCTGTAAAAATCTTCATTACCTGGGAGTTGTTAAATAAGCATATTTTTTATTGACCTTGATATTTTATGCTGTGGTGACATGTTGACATGCATTGATGCCAGTATTGCACAGAATAGTTGATTACAAAGCGCTAATAGCAGCTGCAAACCTCTTTGGTATGCTTCACTTGCAAGAATGAGCTATGCTCTTAGAAGAACTTCATGCTTGCGTGTTTGATGAAGGTGATGTCATAGTTGAGGCACATTAGTTTCCTCCTGTTTACAGTTGCCTGGGTTCATTCCCATGATGGTTGATGTGGGATGTATGGTGGAGAAAGTTTCACTGGAGCAGGTGTTTTTCTGAGTATTTTGTTTTTCCCTATCAGTCTTCAACCATCAGTGCTCCTTAACACATCACCTCAGCACTGGGGACTGGTATGCTAGGACCATTTCAGGTCACAGTAACAAGGTTTCAACCAGCCCTATCATAGAGAGGTATTTTAGTGTTTTAATGCTAGTATCCTGCTATCTAAAGGTGTATAGAATCAAGTATGGGATAGCTCAGTCAGTGTAGCAATGGGCTATGGCTTGGACATCTGCAGTTTGATTTCCCACAGAGACAGGAGATTTTCTTCTATCCCACCAGGACTGGCTATGTGGCCTATCCAGTGGGTGCCAGTTGCTCTTTTGAAGTTTTCAGGGTGTAAAACTAGCCAGGTCAAGAATGGTGGAGCTATACTTTCACACACACNTAATGGCATAGTGCATAATTAATTAAACATGGGGACAACCCTTTGTAAGGATGTGAAACTTGGTCTTACATTAAGGGGAAAGCAAAGGGTATTTGAGAACAGGACCCTTAGGAGAACATTTGGGTGGAAGAGAGAGAGGACGTGACAGGAGGATGGAGACAGTTCTATGAGGGGAGCTTAAAAAATGTTTGTATTTTTTGCCCAATAATATTGGAATTATCAGAATAAAGAGGATTGGGGGGTGGGGGCATCTAGTATGTATGAGAGAGTTCAGAAATATAGATACAATTTTAGTTGGAGAACTTGAAGGGAAGAAAACGTGTGGAAGGCTCAAGCATAGGTGGAAGGGTAACATTATATGTATCTTGAAAGAATGAATGTATAAGGGGTGGGCCTTCTTGGCCCTTCCGCTGCAACCACAGTGATCTATTGTGCCTCCCCTTCTGATTATCCCCTGAACAATCCTGCACTTTGAATGAAGCATAGGATTTTGTACATGGGGACGTCGAAATAGCCGCTTGGTTCCATAAAATATTGACCCAAGTGACACAATCTTAAATAAGCTAAGGCCTCACATTCGCACAGGATATGTGTGGCTGTTTCATTTTCTTCTTGACACCTCTCACAAGCTGGACTATTACTTAGTCCCAGTTTAGGGCCGTGAACTTGTCAATAACTTTAAAAATGTCCCTATATTTTAAATATGAATCTTAAGAAAATGGGGGGCGGGGGATGTGGACTGCAAGCATCTGGCTCAAGATATGAACCAGTGTCAAGGACTCTTGTGAATGTGGTGATGAGCCTTCAAGTTCCATAACAGCAGATTTCTTGAGTAGCTGTTCAGATATTAGATTCTCAAGGACTTTGGCCTGTGGAGTTAATGTTAGTATATCAGCGTGTTTCCAGCTGAAAATTTAATATCAGTTACTTATTTGGAGAAGTAATACAAAATATCTGAAAATGCTGTGAATTAAGTGACATAAGAGAATGCTGTGCTTGTAATTTCTGTGTTGATACAGCACATCATACATCATTCATATTCTGTGAATTTATATAACCACTAGGGTGAAACTGAGCTTTCCATGATAAAAAGAAGCCGTCATCATCATCATCATCATCATTTCCTTTATTTTCCATATATCTGTAGAGGCAAAAAACCTAAGATGTGGAAATAGTCCCTTTGATAATAGATGTATACATGTGATAAATTACATAAGTCACACAACTAAAATAATAACAATAATAATAATAATAATAATACAGACAATAGTCAAGTAAAATATGCAATAGAAAAAAAAACAAAAACAAGACGCTTATTACAATTGTAATTACTAAACATAATTTAAAAAGTGCATTACTATAAAAACTTAGAATTAATACAATTTCACTCAGATTACCCAAATAATTAAATACTTTCTTTATTTAATTTTCCCATAAATCAAAAAAACATTGATACAGGACTCGTCATATACATACATACACATCCTCCACTTTCCATAAATATCTATACAGGGAACAGACCCAGGATGCGGAAATAGTCATCAAACACATACATAAAATAACACAAACCACACAACCAAGATCACCCACATTAACTGTTTAACACATACAACAATACGAGGCAAAAAGATAATATCCTGATTAACAGACATAAGTCACTAGTAACCACAGTACAACCCCTCACATCTCCCATACTAACTATATTAAAATGTGACATTAAGCATTCAAATTTATGTACATTTGTAATTAAAATACTCATTTAATGCATAAAAAGAGTTAGCATGTAAAAATCTTTTTAGGGCACATTCAAAGGATTTCTGGTTATTAGATAATTGTTTCAGCTCTTTAGGCAGATGATTGAAGATTTTTATACCAGAATAATATGCACCCTTTTGAACTTTAGTAAGAGAAGTACTCGGGGGAAATAGGTTAACATTCTGTCTGGTACCAATATTATGAACCTCCGTATTTCTTGTAAACAAATGCATGTTATTTATAGTGTGTTTCATAAAGGAATATATGTATTGCGAACACAAAGGCAGAATTTTCATTTCCTTGAAAGAGTCTCTACATGAATCTCTTTTCTTTAATCCCATCATAATCCTTATAACTTTCTTTTGGATCATAAAAAGTCTTGTCATTTAAGAAGAACTGCCCCAGAAGATAATTCCATATGTCATCACAGAATGTATATAAGCAAAATAAATCATTCTTAAGCTATTTAATGATATCATAGGCTTAACTGTTCTCATGATAAAGCAAGACGAACTCAATTTAGTAACAAGGTAATCAATATGATTCTTCCAACACAGCCTATTATCAATATTTAGGCCTAAAAATTTGATACACTCTAAGTTAGTCGGTAAATTTTGATCAATATTGTTATTCATATTATGATCCTCATAGTTCATTAAAGTGAACTGGAGAGTGTGGGTTTTATGAATATTTAATTTTAACAGATTGGTTCTGAACCATGTATTAATATTGCAAAATATTCTGGTCATGGTTGATTTGTAGTCGGCATATTCTGGATCAGTCACTATTATATGTGAATGAAGTATGTCATTGTGAAAGTTTATGAAAAACCCATTACAGAAGTTGATTTTTAACTGGAGCTATGGTGCGCCATCAGTACTTTGTGATGTGTTGGCATTAATGGGGAATTTAGAAACACTGAATTTAGTACAACCGTTGGAATAGTATACGTTTATATTAACAGCTGATCCATGTTACTTTGAACTGCCTTATTTTCCGCCTTCTTAGCACTGCCAGTTTTGGAAATTTGTATGTAAAAGTAAAACCTAAAGCATAACCATAGAAGTTTTTATGACATTTGTTTTTAAAAAAGGAAATAAAAATTCTAACTTTTCAGAACAACCAAAGGGCATGTTGGAGACAAGTTCTGAGGCTAGGCTTTGGGGCTTGTTTTTACAAATGAACTTCCAAGGTTGTCAGCACTTGTGTGGAAAATAACATGGCAGTAAATCTTACAGTTACATGAGTTACCTGCTAATACTTAAGTATTGCATGAATTTCTTTAATTAAATTTAAGTACAGTTTGCATGTTTTAGGGAGTGTCTGTTGTAAGTTTATGCTTTGTTTGATGTCTCTTCCTAATGACAGTGAACAGATTTGTTCCAATTTTTGTACATCTTTGAAATATACAGTTTAATCAGTAAGGTTAATCTTGAAGAAAGCAGTCTTCTGGGATTTGGCACCGTGTATATGTGGTGTTAACCGACGTTTCGGAGGAACGTATCGCCCCCATCTTCAGGGTTGAAGAAGTATAGGTAAATCTGCAAGCGACAACACCGTGAGACACGGTCAAGCAGGTTAATCTTGATGCGCTGTACTGTCATAACTTTCATATTGTTATCTTATGGGGTGTGACATCCGTGGTCTGGTGGGTGGGTACCACCGTTCCAGATGATCACACTGCCCTCATCTTCATACTACAGAGTGTCGTAATCAAAGATCCTACAAAATTAAACTTCATTGCTGCAAACATCTCAAATCTTCATTTCTGATAAGATTTGTCTCTGCTGCTTTTGATCCATTCAGATGCTTCTTAGGTAGATGAGCCTTGGATATGTGAATTGGAAGGAACTGACTTGTAATGATGGTGTTCAAACATTTGAGATTTCATGACAGCTGAGAACATTGTGACCAGTTGAATAACTATGGGGTATTCAAGCAATTCTGTTACAGGTAGTCTTGGTGGTTAAATTTGTGATATTTCTGTAAGAAAACTCAGATGTTTAGTTGAATATGTTGTACTATGAAATGTTGCCACATGTGACGTTTAAGGTTGTCATGGCAGTGAAGATTCATATTGTGGTAGTGTGGGTTATAGGACACTGCAGTCTAGTAAGTAGGTACCCTACCAGGCCACATGATGTTATAATCCAGAAGACCACAGTGTGATTATGGACATATCTGTAATAACGTTTAGCTTCTTCACATGTTTATTCCACATGCCCCAAATGTATTGTGGTTTCTTCTTCTTAGATTCAAAGTATTGTATGGAACTATTGACTGTACCAGTGGTATCATAAATTAGAACAGTTTTCTTTCCTCATAAGAACTGTATCCAAGAATCTACAGACTGTACTGTCAGTTACTAATTCATTAAGATTGTGGCCCACTTTCTTGTTTTGTTTCTTTGCCCCTTGGTTTTCTTACTCACCTTACATCCCTCACTTCCATCATATGTAGCACATCTTTCCCTTTCATAATGGATCATGTATCTTGCAAAATGAGTAGCTAAATTTGATAGGGAACTGATCTAAATATGTATCGCCATGAGGACCATATCATAAATTACAGGATGATTAATGAAAGTATGGCATTGTCACTATCTGTATTCCTTTTTATCTTGAGTAGATCTCCTTAAGCATTTCACCTCTGCAATTTTCTCAAGCACTGACATGCTCTCAAGACTAGATTTTGTTTTGCAGATATCTGTATCAGTGTCTGAAGTTCTGCAGTTTTTTATTTGCCTGGGAAAGAGATTTTTTGCAGCACGTTCATTATACGTTCTTTGAACATACAGGGAGATCCACACATTCACAGAAATGTAATACATAACATTGGCGTGAAAAAAGTACAGTAAACTGCAAAGGAGTATATTCAGCTGACACCCTACAAGTCTGTAACCATTATTATATTGGGTACTGAAGTACATTTACAGTTTATCTACACTGATAACACTTTTTTGAAGATTTGCATTGTCCTTATATTTCATATGAAATGCTTAGTAATGCTTTATTTCTGAAAACATAATTGTTGGAAGGATATTTCTTTTAAATTCTCCCATCTGAAAGGTTGGGGTAGTTGCGTCAGTATTTGTAACAACATAACACTTAAGCTGAGAAATTTGTCTGTGTGACACATGTAACAGGCTGTCCCCTACTCTTTCTGCAAGTGTGACAATTTAAGCACGTGAAAACTCTTATTGACACAATTCAAGGCCATGAAATCCTATTTAAATGCCCTGAATGGAAGAACTAGTTGGATAGTGATGGGCAAGGTCTTGAGGTAGCTCCTTTGCCTTTCACTGTGCCCAGGAGTCGGGTTTATTATTAGTTTTATGAACTCATGGAATTTTAATTTCGTGCATCCTGTTCTGTTATTATATACAATTCTATATTGGGGTACGTCGTAAGACAACAACAGAAAGTTACGGAATAAAATATGGTTAAAAACTCTTCATGTGATATTGCATATCATGAAGTCAATTGTTGCAATCTTGTTCTTATATTCCCGCGGACATATAGTGGTATATTCAAGACTTGTATACCTAAAGTTAACTGCTTGGAGGCCCGTGGTATAGGGATAGTATTATTTGACATTAATTGTTTGGCCGGTGCCTCATTTTACAATGTATTTTGTCCACTCTGTTGGGAATACAGATTGCAACTCCTATCCCACGAGCCTCCAAGCACTTTACTATACGTATACAAGTCTTGAATATACCATTATGTCCGCAGGAATATAACAACAAAATTGTAACAACTTCCTTCATGATATGGAATATCACATGAAGAGTTTTTAACCATATTTTATTCCATAACTTTCGTTTTATAATAATTTTATAATTTGCTGTATTTTTATACTTTATTTTATAATGTAACAGTCATAAAGTACCCAGCTCTACTGCCACGTTGAAATGCAGTTCAATAGTGTGTGAATATTGTAATCATGTATTTTGCCTGAGGATGGCTTTAAAAGCCGAACCATGTAGCTTAGGTGATGCTGACCTTGACCGTTATGTTGCTACGATGGACTTCAACAAAGAATTGTTCATGGGATTTTATTCTTTTTCAGTCTGCAGTGTGACATAGTTCTGTACAGTTTCTTTGTTATGGTTGTTTGAAACCTGCAAAAGTTAGACATGTGTAGCAGACTTGATGCAAATGGAATAGTGGTAACTTAACAGTTTCTTTTCTACTTTTGTTTATATTTATTTACTTGTTTATGATTTATTTAACAATGCTGTCAGTCCAGTGAATGATGGGATGAGTAGTGAACAGTGTATGTAAAAAGATGCTGTTGTGACCTTGTACGAAGTACTGCCATGATATTTCCCTTGATGGACTAGGGAAAGCCTCAAAGGAACTCACCATATCTGGTCTCTGGGCTAACATTGAAATGGGACCCCTCCCAGATACAAAGCAGGAGTGCTTTGTAAAAACTGAATGTATGTGGACAGCAGATTTGGGCTCCTCGAGGCAGTGAATATAAGATGGTAGTGATGATACGTTTTCTGATCTTCCTTCAAGAAGGTGAAAGAATATTCATGTAAAACATAACTGTCTTTGAGACTATGCAGCATTACATCCCAAAAAAACTCCGTCTTAGTGTACTCGTAGCCAGAAGTTTGTCATCAGCCAAGTACATTAGTTACCTTTTGAAGTTCAGCAAGTGTAGTCAGCTACCTCTCTTGGTGCTAAGCCAAATAATGCTTCACTTTATGTCAACATTTGCACGATGTACCCCTTCCCTAAGGAAGGCTGTATTGGGTCCGAATGCCTGAACCAGTCTTTGTCAAATCTGGTATGTATGAGATTATGGCACCTGAGCCCATCTCAGTGGCATACTAAATAAACCCTTCCTATCAGTTTGTGTGTCTGTATGTGTATCCCCTTATTGTTGCTAGGCAAGGGCACAGTAAAAACGTTACCATGGCAGTGAATACACACACAATAATAGAGAATTGTGGGACGTGTTATTTTCTATACAGTCTTGTTTCATTTCAGAAGAAAGTAGGAGATTAGTTCTTCCCAGAACTTCATGTCATTGCATGGAATTCATATATATATATATACGTGTATATATGTGTGTGTGGCTGTTATATATAATTTGGGTAATAAGAAATTCATTCATTTTAAAAATGGTTAGAGATAAAAACATGAAACAGCCTGAAAACAGCATGGAAACTCATGAAGTTTGTCAAGGAGTGTTCATTACGTATCTACAAACGTCAGTGTAATATTTGAGTTTTTGCCTTGTAAGCAGCAACTCTGACTTATGAACATTGGCTATGACATGAAATTTGCTTTCAGTGCTGTTGAAGGGTCTGTGGCATCAGAGGTTGGTGTATATATCCCCCTAGGTAGAAGTCGTATGGAGCATGGTCCAGGGGTCTGGGGACCAAGGAATGGGCCCTGCTCATCCCATCCAAGTCTCCAGCAGGTCTTTGTCCAAGAAATCTCTCATATCCACATAGAGAAGGAGTGGTGCTCCATCCCTGGGAAATGTCCCTTTCACGGGGGCAACACCCCTTTGTTCCAGCATGCCTCGGTATGTTGCTGAACTCTCTTCATGAATCTCATCTTGTGAAACCACAAGCAACATTGTGCTTCTTGCACTGGAGGTACCATTTTACGCTGACAGTGACTGGAGTGCCGATCATGGCTGATATGTTACCTTCAGTGTTGCCAACAAAAACTTAGCTACTTTCTTTGCAGTTTTCCAGTTGTTTCATGTTCATATCCATAAGTGTTTTGACAACATATGAATTTCTTATCACCCAAATCATTTGTAATAGCCCAGTATATTAATACATGGAAATGTTTGATTTTCAGAACTTTGTTTCTTGCCATGTATACAAATATCGCATTTGTGATACCCAGTCTGGCTGTTCAGCATAATTATAACACTAGGCTTGTTTAAAGTAATATTATGTATTCGTTTTTCAGTGATATTGATTTGGTTGTGATTGGTAAGTGGGAAACATTACCTCTACGAACTCTTGAGCAGTCTCTGTTAGAACATGACATTGCAGAGCCCAGCACACTGAAAGTTTTGGATAAAGCCACAGTAAGTACCTGCGGCACGTAAGGCACATGTATGTTGTGGTTGCTATAAAGTCAGAACTCACTGTTTTTTTGATCAGGCCAGTTTAATGATTGGTTAATTGTATTATCAACGCACAGGTTAGCTTTCTGTTAAATAATAAATCTCAGAGTTGGTACTCCAGAAATGTCCCTTATTAGACTCATTGTGCCATTTTAAGTTCCTTTGCTTTTCCCTTTCCTGTGCCCTACAAAGGTATCCCCTTTTTATTATACTGACTTCATTTGATTTGGTTTTGGGTTGTGTGGGCACTTCTCCATGAAAGGGATTCTGGAGACTTTGGGAAATGCCAGTAAAATGAGATTCATATATTGCTAACATCATCACCAGCCTACTGCATAGTGGCTAGTTATGGTTTCATGCCAGCATTTGTAAGGTCTCCCAAAAGACCTTGTTGCTAATGGGACTGTTGAGCGGGCATTTGAAGAAATGGAATTTTCATTTAGATCTGCAGTTTTCTATGAATTCAGTGATTTGTTGTGTATTTACTTCTTTATATGTAACTTGCTTTTATGGTCCAAACAAGCATACTCTGCTGCTTCTGTGGGCCTGCTATCATCATGGCTGTTGTGTGAGAGTCCTGAAGGCAGTGACTTTGAAGATTACTGCCTTCTGAGGTGTGACACCATATAGTTTGGTAGATGTTTACCAATCTTTCAGAGGAAATACTGCCTCCATTGGAGTAGACGTTCCTCCGAAATGAACACAGCACAGCACCACATCCCAGAAGACAGTAATCTGCTCTACCATAAGTTGATGCAGAGGTTGTTAAAATCATAGAAACTGTATATCTTGTATATTTCTGAGCCAAATTGGGTTTCAGTACCCAGTTTATTATGCCTGTTGCTCATTAATTTTGAATTTTTAATAATGTTTTTTGTTTTTTTATGTGTATGTGTGATCCTCTTCATTATCAGACACAGGGTGAGCAGCTGGAGGTGTGGCATGTGAGGCATCATCTTCTTCAGGTGTATCATCGTGTCACTTTCCAGAATAAAGTCACTATCACTGTGATTTGTGTCTAAATATTCCAGCATATCAGAGTCATCTACCAAGAGCTTGGACCAGCCATTCTGTAGTTAAAAATGTAAAATAATTAACTATATAAACCCTGAAAAATATAATGAAAATATGATAATTTATAATCTTATTATAAAAACAGAATACTGCCATTAAACTATGATATATTCGCAGTAAATAACTACAACCACAGCTCAAAAAAGCATTGAACCACCAAGTAAACATGTGAGCACAACATGTTTCATTTCTTTCATTTTTTAATAAATGTAAATACAAAAGAGACCTGAGCAGTGCCCATCTGGCTCTCTGTAGCACAGTCATATAAACATTTTATTCTGTAATAGCAGTTGCCCTGCGATCTTTGAATATATTGTGATGTGTATACCCATTTCTAGGCAACAAATTGGTAAACACATTCCCGCAGAAGCAAACATGTGGAACAGTAGGATGCTTGTTGCTAGGCAGCTGAGCTGTAAACATGCATAGTTGACAATAGAAGGTGGTGTTTTCCGTGGGGTCCTTGTAAAGTGGTTATAAGAAGTGTTCAGCAGGACAGGAGTAGTAGATGCACAGTAGTAGAAGCAGAGTAGGAGTAAAGGACAGTAGTCGAGAGTAGTCAAGTCGAGTCTGCGGAATTGGCAGCTGCAGAAATGCGGTGTACAACAGACTTAACGTGTCATTTGAAGTTACAGTGAGACTGTGATAAATACTTTGTCAGGATAAAACTAGTGAAGGCTCAGAACTCTAGTGCGTGTGTAATGGTGAACTGAAAGTGTGCAGAATAGCGATAGCGCTGTATAGCCTGTAGTCCCAAACCATGTTAACCTTTAAGTGCCGAAGTGCCCAGTTTGTGCCAGTCATGAGTAAGGTCGTCGTGGCCAAAGTACCCAGTTGTGGCCAGTCAGGCATTTAAACTCCGCTAGTGGAAGCGCGCGCACACGCCGCTAGTAGAAGCGCATGCACAGTCCTGAATATTTATTTTTAAATGTAGTAATTACCAGACCGACTTAAGTAAAACCCTAATAGAGGAATTAAAATAATACCTTACTGAACAACAGCAAATAAAAATATACGTATGAGTTATGCCAAAACTTATCCACAATCCAGTAATTTTGTTGCAGATTCTGCAGATAGGTATGTTAAAAATATAGTGTAAAATTCGATGTACATACCTTTTTTGTTGTTACCTTCTTGATGTATATATAGGTTCAAATGAAACTACAGTATTCGATTTCACTACGAACGCACACAAAAGAGATCACGCTCTGTATCTCAGCCACGATGCAGCTGTCTGTTCATTCAAATAGAAGGGGCAATAAGCTTTTGCAGCCCTAACGGAACATCTTAGCACTGAAGAGGGGACCCCTATAGCTTTCTCTTGAATAGCCATTCTTTCATTCTTCTGACCTTCAGTCAAGTATTCGAAAATCCGAAGGGTGTAAGCAGCGCTAGCAGAAGACCAAATGATTTTATTGCTTCCATCTGTTTTATGACACCAGAGACTGCTAAAATTTGTCAAGTGTTACAAACAGAAATGAAGTTAAAATGAAGAACCTCTGTGAAGAACTGGGAAACCATTTTTGCAGTACGCATCAAAATTAAAACACAAAAAATTGAAAATAGAGTACAACACTTTGTATTAAAAATTTCAAATCTTCCTTTATAATATGCGACACTATGTTCTTTTCTGAAATAAACAAAGTTATTTCCATCCATTTATCATAAAAATTGAGCTAGATAGAGCATTTTTAAACACAACGCTTAAAATTGATTAAGCGCCTAACAGGAACGGACATTTAAACGCAGCGTAGCAACGGGCATTTAAACGCGCACCAGCAGCGGACATTTAAATAAACTCCGGCCAGCTCAAGCTTACCACTATTTCGAAGTCCGGCGTTTAAAGGTTAATGTATACGGTGCAATAAATCTAATCATCCAATCCAAAACCCATCTTAGAAGTCACAAATTAATAACGTGACAGTATCTCTTAACTCTAAGAGTATACTGTTAATATTTTGTACATTTACTTCTTTTTATTTTTTTCATAATTTTGAGAATTTTGTTTATGAAGTAGCAGATACCATGCACAAATCTTTTCCTCTAGCTCCAAGAACTGTGTAACTGACCTTGGGTATTCTTTTTGCTCTTCTCAGACAAAATGTCAATCATCATGTTGCCCATTGGTCCTCATACAGTTTACAGTTCCAGAAGATATGTTCCTCTGTTTCCTCTATTTGCATTCGACTGTGGACACAGTGTTAAATCTGCTTAGGCTTGCTTTAAGACTGGTGTGCCATGCTCTCATACGGTTTATTGACACAAAGGAACGGCGGTTAACTTTTATCTTGCGGGACCACAAGACAACCCATTCCTGTAGTACCTGTAAAAGCAGCTTTCTCCTCTGTCCCGTGTGGTGTTTCAACAAAAACTGTGGATCTCCTCTTTGCCATTCTTTTTCCATGGGGCTTTAAGATCTGTCCCTGGCAATAGTTGACTATCTAAGCCTTCATTGATTGATGCTTTGCCTCTGAGTCACCTCTCTCATTAATTAAAAATATATGTATTATTTTAAGAAAAGGAGTGCCATCTGGGTGCAAAACTGTGAAATAGACCTTTGAGAATTAGGTATCGTCTCATGCTCTCACCTTTGGGCCATTTACACAAATAAGGAGCCTGATTTGGATGGAGCCAATGGATCGGCCGCCTGAATGTTCTGGCCGTTACCAGACACACCAATGGATTGGCACTTTGAGCATATAAGGGTTAAATTTCTATTTATGGTTATGCTGGTGTATGATATGTTGGCATTTTCTCATATCATCATTCATGTAAATTATAAATAATGCAGAAGAGAGAGTGGCAGCCTAATGATCACCTGCTTTGTTGATTTCATTTCTGAATGTACTACTGTATTCAGCATTTGCTGCTATAAATGTTTTGTGTGGTGGCAGGTAATTCATTTTGTGACTTATCAGTTTGAAGGATTAGTTAGGTTAAATTTTAGATTTTAAGTTTCAATTTGAGTAATTTAATTGGGTAACAGTCTTGATTTTAAATCAGTAATCGTGGTTGTTCTTAATGTATGGTATACAGTGGAACCTCGCTTAACGAGCATAATTCGTTCCAGAATCTTACCCATAATGCAAAATACTCAATAAAAAATTATGTATAACGTTTATTCAAAGAAAATTATATATACATTGTTAAGGAGTGTGAATCATCTTCAGCTTTTCTTCTGTGCGGAATGAACCAACCTGGAATGTGAATTCGATTTGCAGAAAACAAAAAAAAAAAAATCGAAATAATTAGTTTATTATTTATGATACATATCTAATTCTTTTTTACTAGAAAGCTGCCTAGAGACATTTGTTTTTGCCTATGCTTCAAAATTTGGTGAAAATGCGACACAGCATTATCATTAAATAAATTTGTAGCGCACATAGCCGCTGCCTTATTAGGGTGATGCTTCTCAATATATGCAACAGTTTCCCATGCTTTCAGCATTTTCCTTATTGCGCCAGAAGATTGTTGCTTTGCTGTTACCTCCTCCTCCTCCTCTGACAAACTCTCCTCCACAACTTCTTGCTGTGAAACACAATGCAACTCTATAAGGTCTTCGGTAGTCAGCTGTTGGCTGTGCTCTACCACAAGCTCATCGATATCATTGTTATCCACTTCCAGCCCCATGATCTTGGCCAAAGACACAATTTTGTTGGCTACAGGCTCCACAGGTGCTATCTCATACCCCTCAAAGTCACGTTCGCCAATGCTCTCCGGCCAAAGCTTCTTCCAAGCAGACGTGAGGGTTCTCCTGGTAACCCCTTCCCACACCTTTCCGATCATCTTGAGGCAGGCAATGATGTGGAAGTGATATTTCCAAAACTCTCTGAGAGTGAGATTGGTCCCTTCAGTCACCTCAAAACAACGCTCGAAGAGTGTTTTAGTGTACGGCTTCTTAAAGTTAGAAATAACCTGCTGGTCCATAGGCTGGAGTAACGGAGTGGTGTTGGGAGGCAGAAACTGGATGTTGATGAATTTAAATTCTTCAAGGAGGTCATCTTGTAGGTCTGGAGGATGGGCAGGAGCATTGTCCATAACAAGCAAGACATGGAGTGGCAGATTCATCTCAAGCAAACATTTTTTCACAGAAGGACCAAACACTTCATTGATCCAATCAGTAAAAACGTCACATATCACCCAAGCCTTGTTGTTGGACCTCCACATCACATTTAGCCTGCTCTTCTGGACTTTACACTTCTTGAAGGCTGGTGGAGTTTCTGAATGGTAAACAAGCAGTGGTTTAATTTTCAAATCGCCACTTGCATTGGCACAAAATAGCAGCATGAGACAGTCTTTCATTGGCTTATGCCTGGGCAATGCATTATCCTCTGCTGTTATATAGGTTCACTTCGGCATCTTTTTCCAGAAGAGATCCGTCTCGTCACAATTAAAAACCTGTTGCGCCAGGTAACCCTTAGAATCTACGAGCTTCTTGAAGTCGCCGATGAAGTTCTCTGCTGCCTTTGTGTCGGAGCTTGCTGCTTCACCGTGCCTTACAATGCTGTGGTGCCGGTTCTTCTCTTAAACTTCTCCAACCACCCACGGCTTCCTTTAAATGCTTCTTCTTCGGCCATTGATGATCCTGGCGTCTTCTTAACGAGGTTGGCGAAAATCACTTTCGCCTTTTCACAAATGATGTTATCGTTAATAGTGTCGCCTTGCAATTGCTTTTCGTTTATCCATATGAGGAGCAACCTTTCAACATTGTCAAGAATACGTAACCATTGTGTAGATATTCTTGTCACTCCCTTTGAAGCATCTATCTCCTTAATCTTGTCCTTGTTCTTGAGGATAGTGCAAATCGTTGATGTAGACCGATTGTATGTGCGTGCTAGATCAGCCACGCTCACACCTCGTTCTCGCACTTCAGTGATTTTTAGTTTCATTTCTACGGTTATATTTATTCTCTTATGGCTGTCTCTTTGTGGTTTTTCCTTCAGGGGCATTTTTGCAAGGGTTATTAAACTTTGCACAAAAAAAAATCACAAATAATATGTCTGAACACAAGTTTGGAAAAATGTGTGATCACAAGCGACACTAAGATGCTAGCGGAACGAGTGCTAAAGACAGACTGATGTAGCAAGCGCACAATCCGGGACTTCCCCTCTCATCACTCGTTATGAGAGGTGCTCGTTAAGCGAGGTTCAACTCTACTTATGAATGTTGTTTGAGGATATAATAGTGAAAATATAATTTGTTTAAATTGGCTTTAAATAAGCCCAGTTCTATCAGTGTTTCTAGTGTAATTTATGTGTAGTTTAATATGGAATAAATGCAACTGAAGTTACAATTCTAAGAAGTTTGTATTTAGTCCAATTAAATGAGAATACACTTTCCTCTCAGGTCCCAATTGTGAAACTAACTGACAAAAAGTCAGATGTAAAAGTGGACATTAGCTTCAACATGAGCAATGGAGTGAAATCAGCTGAGCTTATAAAAGATTTTAAGCAACGGTTTCCAGTGCTCTCAAAACTAGTGCTGGTACTGAAACAGTTCCTTCTTCAGCGAGATTTGAATGAAGTGTTCACTGGAGGCATATCTTCATATAGTCTTATACTGATGACGATCAGTTTCTTACAGGTATGGCACTTCTGCGCTTTGTAAGATTATAATCAATTGTATTTTTGGACATAATGGAATATTAGTTTATGTATTTTTCAGCTACATCCAAGGCAGAATGCTTTCTGTCCTGGTGCAAATTTGGGCGTTCTTCTTATAGAATTTTTTGAACTTTATGGAAGAAAATTCAACTATATGAAGACTGGGATACGAGTAAAGGATGGAGGCACATACATATCCAAAGAAGAGGTGAACATATGTCAAGAATTATGTGCTTAATGATGGGAAGGCTGATATAGTAGAGCCTGCATTTACTTTTGCTTCATTGTGGTACAGGTGAACACTTGTATCATTCCCAAAACAGATACTTCCTTTTGCAAAATTGCTCTTTAAATCCTTGTTATCCTGTGAATATAAGTTCTGTGGTTTTCACAGTGGTGAAGACCAATATTGTAGTCTTCTGGGTTGTAAAATGTATGATATAAGTTCCCCCAGAATGTGTGTACTTACTGGACTGCACAGTGTCATAACCCAGAAGATTACAATATATATCTCTGTACAGAATGTTGCATACCTAGCTCATTCCATATTGTCACCAACAGTAACAATCAAGATAGATTTTATGAAGCCTTCACTTTATTTTCTAGATTACAAAAATATTACCTGTACAAAATTTGCGTATTTACTAAGATCTATTATTACACATCATTTCAGACCCTGTACTAATAGGTGGTGCTGCTTCCTCAACATGTTTGTGTCATCTGTGTTTTATTTGTGGTTGTAGTAGATTGAAAAGTGTGAGGTTTGTGTGACCTCCAGTTGCACAGTGATCATGCAGAAATTGTTTAAAAACTGACAGTTCAGTTCAGAAGCGTAAAGATGAACACACACATGACATTCATGTGTGTGCACATGCACCACCACATGCCATGAATGCATGCACATACACACACAGGCACAGGTGATGATATCATAAGCCTATTTCTTCATTAAGAAATTAAGTTTTACCAAGGCCATAGACCTCATCAGTTGAAGTTTGTATTGCAGTGAGTATTGAAAGTACGAAGGCTATTTAGAAAGTAACCTGCAGTGAGTGTTAACAAAACAAGCAATGAGAAAAATAAATTTTGTTGTCACATATATGAGTGACTGTAGATAGGGTTTGGATTGGTAATTGAATTTATTAAACACTTACAGAACATAACTACAAGTAGCTATGGTGCTATTGCAAATATGCACACAGACTGCAGTTCACTCCAACATGTATTGAGTCTTCTTAGCCAGCTGTGTCTTCACCAGTGGACAGTGGACAGCTCCTGGGCTTGTCCTCGCAGGCTGGTGGCCATCTCACACCAACCTTCTACTCTTCCAATTGCTGTCTCAAGACTATCTCTTAGTCAGAGTCAGAGTTACTTTATGACTGGCGGTTTACCACCAATGTTCTGAAGGCCTTGGCTTCAATCATTTCTATGTGAAGTCTCCACATAATCATCATATCGAAGATTGCAGGTGGCAAACTCCTTAACACAGTATAGAACTATAAGGTTTATTTTGGACTCTATTCATCATCTGGTATATATAAGACAAAAAACCACAATGTTTCAGAGACTGGATCTGTCTCCATCCTTAGGCGGATGGGGCAAGATAGACCTACTCAGTTGGGCCCATTAGAAAGAGCTAGGTCGAGTGATTGAGACTAGCTCTTTCTAATGGGCCCAACTGAGTAGGTCTATCTTGCCCCATCCGCCTAAGGATGGAGACAGATCCAGTCTCTGAAACATTGTGGTTTTTGTCTTATATATATCAGACGATGGATAGAGTCCAAAATAAACCTTATAGTTCTATACAGCATACACCATCATAATCTTCTAAAGTCTCCTTGACACAGGTATGACAAGTGCCTCAGTTGCAGCAGCAGCTACTTTGGGAAGTCATTTAAGTATGTATGTATTTATTTCTTGAATGCTTGTAACAGGTCAGCAGTGGTTGCTTTCCGAATAGACCTTGTATGAAGTGGGATGTGACACCTTCAGAGTAGTAGTAGAGGCAGTAGGTTCCTCTAAAATGTTTGTTGCTCTCTACTGAACTCAGAAGAATGTGGTGTTGATATACCTCAGATCCTGTTTATTGTTTACCTAGAAACTCAGTATGGAATGAAATATCTAATTTCTAAGTAAGCTACTGCTGTGTGACTTCCTTTATGTCTGTATTGCAGGTTCTGCGTGGCATGATTGATGGTCATCGCCCTTCACTGCTCTGTATAGAAGACCCATTGACACCAGGCAATGACATCGGTCGTAGCTCATATGGTGCATTACAAGTGAAGCAGACTTTTGAATATGCCTACATTGTTTTAACACAGGCAGTAAATCCTCTAAACACCTTAATATATGATGCCAATAAATACAGGTAATGGTTCACTGTATTTGATCACAGCCTGTGTTGTTCTTTGAACAATGTGTAACATGACTCCAGGTGTCAGTTTTTCAGGAGTTTAGGAGGACTGCTACTGAGATTGATAGTGATATTTGATGAATCATAGTTTGACAGGTGGTATTTGTATGTTTGCAGTTTATAAACATATATATGAAACAAGTACAGCATATTCTTTGGTGTATTAGAAATTACAAATAAAACAGCAGCATGAAACTTTGCTGTTATTCTGTGTTCGGTAAATCTATGTTAATGGAAGCCAGTTGCAGATGTTATGATTTAGTCATCTGTCATTTAAAGGTTGGTGTTTTCTTATAAGATATTATATTTTAAGTGGTGTTAGGTTTATATAACTGTGTAATTTGCAAGATTTTCTTTACAGTTAAATCTCTATGGCCACCAGAGATTTTATGATCATAATTAATTATTTTGTAATTTAACCCTTTAAAGCACTGTGGTTGCTATTTGAACCACTGTCTTTCACATAAAAACTATGCCTTTTGTTCACAAACTGTATTTATGTGTTTCATACATATTATTCTTATAATAATGATTATTTCCCAGCATTAACCTGCTGATCTTTGTTATGGAGATACATTATATGTTCTGTGAGACAGGAATTGAATTTTAAATGTTAGAAAGATGAACTTGAAGTTTGAGGGTTTAACATATTGTGATGTGTCAATTTCAGTATCTTGGGTCGTATAATCCGTGTGACAGACGAAGTCATTGACTATCGAGCTTGGATACGTGAAACATTCCCTGTCCAGTCATACACACTGTCTGTCACAAATCAAGAAGAGGATGATTCTCTTTCATCCTGCAGTGGCAGTGAGTCGTCTACCTTGGAATCTGTAACTGGCAGTGACACGGTAAGTTTTACGCATTCTGACAAGTGGTTTCAGTGTGGTGCTGTGACACATCAGTTAAAACTATTATATTGAACTTCATGAATTGTGTAATTTTATTAAAATCACTATATTTTGGGAATTCCCCCCCCCCAATCTTCAGATGAATGGAATACCTAAGAAATCCTCTCCGATGGTCTTCTTGGTAGAGCTGCTCACCGTATCTTGAGAGTAGCTCTATCTTCGGACTTGAAGGGTAAATTTCTCCCTTGTTCATTTATCCTGATGAGGGAAGTAGGATCACTTTAAAAAATGTAGTGGCCGTTTATTCATAGGGTTGTTACAGTGTTTAAAGATTCTGAATTAAATGAAACCACTTTGGATAAGTAGTGTGCATATGAGAATAAGCCACAGGATAGGATTAATACAAAAGATAAAATGTAATAATTTTGAGATAATGAAGGCATAGAGTTTTAAATACTTAGGAAGTAAAATAATAACAGAATGGAAGGGCATCAGAAGAAATTACATTACTTAGTTATGGAGCCAAGCCCTTCTTGAGGAGAAGCGAAATTTGCAGCTACTCAAGAATTTCCCAGCATTTTATGGAAACCAAAGCTTTGTCACCATGCTCACAAGAGCCCTCCATTGGTCCCTATCTGATGCCAGATCAATCCAATCCATACCATCCTGTCCTGTCTCTCTAAAATCCATTTTAATATTGTCCACCCACCTATTCCTTGGTCTTCCCAGTGGTCTCTTTCCTTCTTGATTTCCCACCAATATCCTATATGCATTCCTCTTCTCCCCATTCGTACTACTTGACCTGCCCACCTCATCCTCCTTAACTTGATCATTCTGTTTGTACTTGGAGAATACTACAAGTTATGAAGCTCCTCTTTCTGCAGTTTTCTCCAGCCTCCTGTCACTTCATCTCTCTTTGGTCCAAATAATCTCAACACCCTGTTCTCAAACACCCTCAGTCTTATGTTCCTCTCTTGATGTCAGAGACCAAGTTTCACACCAAAACAGAACCACAGGCAAAAGTTATAGTTTTGTATATTCTAATTTTTATGTTTTTCGACAGCAGACAAGCAGTCAAAACATTCTGGACTGAATGGTAGCAAGCATTACCAGAGTTCGATCTCCTCTTAATTTCCTCCTGAACCAGGTTTCGATCTGTTATCGTTGTTCCCAAATATCTGACCTGTGCCACAATTTCAAACCATCTGTTTTCTATTGTTATGTCATGATTTTGCCCTGCATTTTGGTGACGAGAGAGTGACATATACTTAGTTTTCTCTGTGTTTACTTATAGACCAACCTCCTTACTTGCGTCAATCAAAGTTTGTTTGCTTTTCTTTATATGGTCTAGAAAACCGAAATTGGTGGCCATGGGGATTCGTGACACCCTCTATCCGCTGAGACTGGCACTAGCTTCGCCGACAAACGGCGATCGCTAGGTTGGTATAGTTCACTTGCAGACTAAAACCACGGAGTTGTTGTTTTTCTTTATGGTATCTATATTATAACCCAGTAGATTCACATCATTGGCATAGGCCAACAGCTAATGTGCCCCATTTAATTTCAGCCCCACCTGGTTTTCCTGGACCTTCCTAATGGTATATTGTAAAGTAAAGTTGAAAAGGAGTGGTGATAAAGCATCTCCTTGTCTTAGACCATTCTGGATAGGAAATTTATCAGACCAATGTTTACCTATATGGATTGTACTATAAATTTCGTTTAAACACATTTTAATCAGCTAAACTTGTTTCATGGGTATCCCAAACTCTATCAGAATATTGTACAGTACTTCCCTCCTAACTAAATCATAGGTTTTCTTGAAGTCTACAAATAGCTGTTGTACTGTCTCATTGTACTTCCATTTTTTCTCCATTATCTGATGAATGCAAAAGATCTGATCTGTAGTTGATCTGTTACATCAAAACCCACACTGATGATCCCAAATAATTTCATTTGTATATGGACTTAACCTTGAGAGAAGAATATTGGATAAAATTTTGTATGAAGTTGATAGCAATGATATCCCCCGATAATTACTACAGTCAGTTTTATCACCTTTCTTGTGAACTGGTATAATAATAGACTCCTTCCACTGATCAGGCAATTTTTCCTTATGTCAAATAGAAGTAATTAGATTGTGAATCTTAGAATGTAACATTTCACCTCCTCCTTGAATAAGTTCTGCCGGAATTTGATCACTACCTTGCGATGACAGACCAGAATGAAACAAATCAAACTTACCGTTTCAATTTTGCAATAGCACTTTAACCTCAAAAGGGCTATGATCAGGTACTAACGGCTCAGCTGTATGGATTTATGTCTGCCTAACATTACTGACCCTATGTATATTCAGTAACTGAGAGAAGTAGTTCCTCCACCTAATCAAAATGTTTTCAGAATCTGCAAGCAGATCACCATTCTCATCCTTCACTAAGTTACTGCTAGGCTGGTAACCCCTCTTAAAGTCATTTATTCCTCTATACAGGTCTCTAATGTTCTTGTTCTTACTGTTCATTGCAAGCTCATCAGTTTTGTCTTTCAGATATTCCCTCTCTTTGTTCCTGAAATGCCTTCTAGTTTCACATCTTATATTGTTCAGATTATCCCCATTTAACTCGCTTTGATCCTGTAACCATTGCAATTTGGCCTGCTTTCTTTGATCTAATAATTTTGAGCATCCTTCATTGAACCATGGCTTATGCTTCTTCGGTTCATAATAACCTAGACTCTCTTTGGCAGACATTTTTATATTCTCTCTAATAGTTTCCCAAGCTTTATTAACATCCACCTCAGTTTCCAAGTTTTTCCAAGACCGTGAACCTATTTGAGATTTCAACACAAAACTGCTCTTTGCCCTCTTTTTTTTTTTTTTTTCTTCTTGGCACTACAGCCCCAACGGGCCTAGGTCTACCTCCATGAACTTCTCTGTTCACTTCAGTTTTTCTAGATCTTACACATTCGGTAGGACTTCTTTTGGCAGGTGATCAGCTCGTTGCAAGGCCTCTACCTGTACACACACACAAACTAAGCATCCATGCCCTGAGTGGGATTCGAACCCATGATCCCGGTTTCCAAGTGAGCGAAGACCGTACATGCCTTAGACCGCTCGGCTACCGTGACCGGCACTCTTTACCCTCTACTTCATTTAATTTCTTGAGATTGAACCTCTCCATATGAACCCTGTGCATTGTTTGTTTGCTCACTGCCAGTCTTTCCCTAACCTTTGCCACCACCAGGTAGTGGTCAGTATCACAATCTGCTGCCCTGAATGATCAGACATGAAGTATACTTGAGTGCCATCTCCTATCTATCAAAATATGGTCTATTTGATTGTGTATCTTCCTGTCAGGAGATGTCAGTGTATATTTATGGATGTTATAATGCGGGACATTGTACTTTTGAAGGTAAGATTTTTGATATGGCAAAGTTTACTACTCTAACTCCATTATCATTACTAATATCATGCAAACTCTCATTCCCAATCATTGGTTTGAAAATGTCTTCCCTCCCTACCTTGCCATTGAAATCTCCTAACAAAATTGTCATAGGGTACTTCGGGAATTTATCAAATACATGTTGTAGTTCTTTATAAAACCTGTCATTTATATCTTCAATTTTATCTTCTGTTGTGACGTGAACATTTGTAATGATATCACACCAGCGACCTTTTAGTATTATATATGATCTCCAATCACTAACGAACTCTACCCTCTTAACTGCTGATACAATTCTCTTATGTACAAAAAACCTGTACCCAATTCATGATTTTCATTTCCCTTTCCATAGAAAAATGTATATTCTCTTACTGGTGCAATGCCACCTCCGTCCCATCTGATCTGTACTCCTGCTAAATCTGACATAGTTTAAGATTTCTTCTGCCACTTCCCTGAGCGAACCTGCCCTAAAATTTAACCTTCTAGTCAGATAGATCATTGAAGGTCGCAGTGCAAGGGTCAGATTTTTTGGCCCACCCCGTACACACATACACATACCCGCTAGTCAGGGAACTAGCTCCATGGAGCTGAGCCCTTCTTGAAAAACTGCCTGTCATTTAAATACTCAAGAATTTCCTAACATTTTATGGAGCCCAGAGGTTCATTATGGCAGTGAGCCTTCCTGACCCAGATCAATCCAGTCCATAGCACACCATCCTATCCTTCTCTAATATCCATCTTAATATCATCCTGCACCTATGTCCTGGTCTTCCTAATGGTGTCCTTCTGACTTTCCCACCAATATCCTATATGCATTACTCTTCTGCCCCATTCATGCTACCTGCCTTGTCCTGCCTATCTCGTCCTCCTTGACTTGATCATTCTAATTATACTTGGTGTAGAGTACAGGTTATGATGCCCCTCATTATGTAGTTTCTTCAACCTCCTTTCATTTCATCCCTTTTCTCAAACACTTAAAGTTTGTGTTCCTTCCTCCTCTAATGTCAGAGACCAAATTTTACACCCATACAGAACAAGAGGCAAATATGGTTTTGCATATTCTAATTTTTATGATTTTAGCCAGCAGTAAAAAAGACAAAAGGTTTGGCACTGAATGGTAGCAAGCATTGCTGGAATTCAGACTCCTCTTAATTTCCTCCTTGATTTGTTACTGTAGTTCCCATATATTTCAATTGTGCCATATTTTCAAAGGGTCTGTTAGCTATCTTCATGTCATGATCTTGCCCTGCATTCTTGTTATGAGACAGCAACATATACTTAGTTTTTCTAGACCAACCTCTTTACTAGCAGCAATTAGATTTCCTGTGTTTTTCTTTAAGGTAACCATGTTATCTCCCAACAGATTCACAACATTAGTATAGACCAGAAGCTGGTGTGTCCCATTTAATTTCAGTCCCACTTGGGTTTCCTGGAGCTTCCTAATGATATATTGTAAAGCAGAGTTGAAAAACAGTGGTGATAAAGCATCTGGTAGACCATTTTTGGTAGGAGACATATCAGACAGATGTTTACCTATGTGGATTTTGTTATAGGTTTATTTAAACACATTTCAGTCAGCCTAACTAGTTTCATCGGTACTCGAAACTATGAGAATATTGTACAATGCTTCCATCCTGACTGAATCATAGGCTTTCTTGAAGTCTATGAATAGCTGATGCACTATCTCATCATACTCCCATTTTTTCTCCAATATCTAATGAATGCAAAAAATGTGATCAGTAGTTGATCTGTTATGTCAAAACCCACACTGATGATCCCAAATAATTTTATCTGTGTGTGTTAAAATTATGTACAAAGATGATACCAGTGATATCCCATGATAATTACTACAGTCAGTTTTATCACCCTTCTTGTAAACTGATATGACCCAGGATATTGTAGTCGGTACAGCGACTGGCTGGATGACTAAAGGGTCAGAGTTCACATCTCGGTTGTGTCAAGAATTTTCTCTCCTCCACATCATCCAGAGCAGTTCTGGGGACCACCCAGCCTCCTATCCAGTTGGTACCAGGGACTCTTTCCCGGGGTTAAAGCAGCCAAGACATAAAGCTGACCACTCGCCTCCAACTAGTGCCAAGGTCAAGAAAGTGTGGATCTATACATCCACTCTCTCTTATGCCTTCATGGCATGGTGCTTAATTTGTTAAACTCAGGGACAACTTGACCTTTACCTTACCTTGTAAACCGGTACAGTAATAGATTCCTTCCACTACTCACGAAATTTTTCCTTACTCCAAATAGAATTAATAGTTTATTGATCTCAAATCTTAATGTTTCACCTCTGCATGAGTCAGTTGTGCCAGAATTTGGTCACTAACTGGTGACTTATACATTTTCACTGGTAATTTATACTTTTTCAGCTTTGCAATAGCAGTTTCCACCTCAGAAAATGTAGGCTCAGTTATTCATTGCCTAGATGTATGTATTTCTATGTGCCAAATCACAGGCCCGTGCACATTCAGTAGGTGAGAGAAGTAATTATTTCACCTATTGAAAATGTTGTGGGAATCTGCAAGCATGTCACCATTCTCATCCTGTACTGGGTTAGTTCTAGGTTGGTAACCCTTCTAATACTGTTTATTGTACTACACAGTCTGTCAACAGGGCAACAAATTGTTCCTTCTTTCTTACACTTTCACTTTCAGCACAACATGTTTCAGCCCTAAATGGCCATCTTCAGGTGTCTTATTATGCTAAAACTACACTGCACTAATATTGTCCATTCGTTGAGTATGCGACTGCACGCTTCGTGATTTAAAACATCATACTCGTAGTCAGTTGGTATGTGTTAAAATATCACATGCTGTAGTTCATTAAATTTAAATCAATAAAATCTATTAAAATAATTTTATATTTTTAAAATTCTTATACCTCACAAGGCGTGTCATCCACTAGTTTTGATCTGTATCCTTTACTTCAGATGTTTTATTGCAGCAGCCTGTTTTTCTGTTCATAAACCCATTGTAGTGTTACATCTGCAATCTGTAATTTTGCCCCTTGCGTGTGCATTGTTCCCTATAGCAGCATGTGGTGTTGGCTTCACTTGTGTATATCATGCCATTTGAGACCATCTCAACAGTGTGCTTCATTATGCATACATAATAAAGTGTTCTTTCTGCATATTGTATCAGATCGCAAATTTCAGTGAAAGGAAAGTAGGTGATTAATTCTTCCCAGAACCTCTTGTTATTATTTGAAGTAATTTAATGTATCTTCAAGAGTCTATGAATGTCCTGTTTCCTATGTATCATCACGTGTTAGCGACCATATACAGTTTTTGCTTACTGGTCCATAATTAGTTTGCCCTAAATACTCACTAATCATCAAGAGATCCCAGATACTGAAGATGAAACCAGTTCTGTAATGAAGTTTACATGTTGAATTTTCCACACTTAAATGTAATATAATGTAAAAGTAAAGATATCCCTATAACAGGCCGTGGAGGCCCATAGGGTTGTGAGATGTTGAGGTTCCCACATTTTCTAGACAGTTGGCTCATAGATGGTGGCAAGGTTGTCAGCCCTATGCGCCTGCCACCCTTTACCCGCAAGAATATTCCTGGTACTCATTTCTGTTAGAGGCTGAGTCAACCCCGGGGCCATAGTGCGGCTGGAAGGATTAGGTCAATTGAAAAAATCCAATGACCTCATCAGGACTTGAACCTGTGACCTTCTGGCTTGTAGCATAGTGCCTCAACTAACAATGCTACCCTGGGTAGGTGTACAGGAACTAAAATCCAAGTAACATTTCAAACAGCTGGATGGAAAAATAATCAGGATTACTGATATAGTAAACGGTAACGGTGGCAGTAGAGTACAGTAACAACTGTGTGAGTACCAGCTGCAAATTAATTTCTGCATGAATTAAAAACCAGTGCACTGACATTGCACATTCTTTCTCACATATGACTGATCTTGACTACATCTCCTTGGTAGGGAATTGTTGCTGAGTAGACCATTGTTGGTTGCTGAGTGCAAAACAGCAGTGAAATCTGTCTCACCAGTAAAGCCATTTTTAACAGAACTGACATTTTATATTTGGGACTCTAGAACACGTACTTGTCTTTTCCAAAGAAAACTGAAATTTAATTAAGATTATTACAGCAGTTTCTAGAAAGTGGTCTTGTCTTTTGGGGCACATTTGAAGGGCTGAAAACGTAAATCTGTCAAAGTCAGAAGATGAATTGTTTGAACATGACAGTACCTTCTCATATTATATTTTCATATTCATGGGTGCTGAAAATGTGTAAAGCCTTCAAAATCTTGATACTAGTTACTCTGTCATATTTGCTATGTAAATAAGAAAGTAAAAGGAAAAGCACTCTACTATGGAAAAATATAAAATGCCTGCTATCATTTCCTATATCAGACTACTGGAAGAGATGGGAAAATTATGTCAGAAGCCAGAAGATAGGGAAGGGTTAAAACAATAACTGGGCTTTTGATTTACTTCCAGTGGAATATTGCTCAGTAAATCTGTTAGCTTTTTGATAACCAGCAAAGCTTGGAGGACTATACAGCTTAGCTGAAGATGGAGTGAGGAGACTAAGGGGAGATTTTGTAAATAACTGACAAGCAGTAATTCCTTTAACAAGGAGTATACTAAGGTCTTATATAATAAAGATTTTGTTCTCTGATATTGGTCAGATGGCAATAGACCCTTCAGCTGAGCAGTTTACCATGTCGTCTATCCTCCAGGATGCTTGTGCCTTCAACTCTGCAAGGGCTTAAATAACAGTCTGTGATAATAAATTGACTTGTTTGATGTTTCTAGGATTCTGAAAGCAGTCGAGGTTCAAACCGCTATGATAGATTCGCATCTTCTGTGAGACCTTCATCAGTTGCACCACTTCCATTCCCACCACTAGTGCCTCATAGGGGCCATTCCACACAACGGGGATTTGTCAAGCATAGAAGATTATCTGCAACTCTAGGTAGGGTTGTAATTGATACCATCGGAAATAGAGAAACACTGGCCTGTGTTGACTGCAGAGTGTTTTTAGAACTCTGACATTCAGCATGTTTCTTATGTTTCTATAACTTTGCCTTCAATAGTTATTTGTATATTAATAGTATGTGGTATGAGCCATATTTGTGTACACATGAGGTTAGACGATAAATTTCTGTTGCTGTTCATATTCTGTTGGCAGATGGCATCACAGGCCTGAGTTTCACTATTAGAGGTGTTGTACTTTCGTGTGAGTAATGTGATGCTCTATTCTATTTTGTAGTTGTACAAGAGGTTTGTGAAAGTATGAGTGTTCTGGATGTGAACAGCAGATTTGTGGAACAATCATCAAATTTTGATATAACTGAATGAATGTGCAATGGACATTTTGATAGGTTGAAGCTTCTAGCATGTGTTGGAAATGTTTACGGCCTTGTAGATGGCCAGCAGCTCACTGCTGTATGCACCGTATTTCTGAGTTTCTTGGAGAAGAAGGTGAGTGGGGTGCCAAGCATTCTGGATGCACTGCTGCAGCACAGTACTCATGGCAGACGTGGAGGCGTCTGTAACTGGTGCAAGTGGCACGGATGGATTGGGGTCTGCCAGTAGAGCAGTGTGTGTGACAAACTTGGCTTGCATTCTTTGAAGGCCTTGTGGAGTTGCAGCATCCAGGTGATGGGGTAAGAGCCCTTGACTCTCGGGCTGGAGAGAGTGCCGTTAAGGGGTGCATGGGTGGCTGCCACACGGCAGAGATCGCCTGTAGAAGTTTAGCATTCCCAGAAAATGACAGAGCTGACTAACGCTCTTGTGAGGGTGGCAGTCCTGGAGCTGGAATGCACCGAGTGCTGCCAGCTGGCAAGAGAGATCCTAGATATGATGTGGAATTGTAACACTGTCAGGTCCACCAGTGTGAGAAGTCGGATCTGGTAGCACAGAGAGTCACCCACATAAATTTCTACAACAAATATTTATTGTTAACAGAGTACACAGACAAGCAGGCAGGCAGTGTGTGCAGTAACTGATGAGGTGTTGTGGACCCTAAAAAGGGCCGAATTTCTAATGCAGGTTGTTAGGTAATGTCAGGTTATGGTCATTGGAGCTGCCATGGTCTGCGCTAATTGGCTAGCACTTAATTCAGTGCAGATGGCTCCCATGGGTGTTTTATTAATATTGGGTATATTTGTTTGTGTTCCATGATTTGAATATATATTTGGGATACTATTGCTGATGTTGGAGCATCTGTTTGTTTGTAATATTAAGAAAGTCCATTTTAGCAGGTGTCAGTGGCATGACTGAGCTTGACATGGTGACACTGACACAGTTAAATGAGTCCAAACCACTTTATCACAAACTTCTTCACTTGGAAAATTTCTTTTCCTGTCATTCAGTGGGGCATGTTTTTACTCAGCATAAACTCCCTCACTCAGCGTAATAACAGAAAAAATAGAATGTACATAAATAATAAGTACTGGCAAATTTGTAACATCAGTTGAGTCATCCAACTGTATTACAAATGTCTTAATAATTATCTGTGTATTGATTCAGTGTTTTTATATTCATAAAAATAATAATAGTAACTATTATACAATATTTAAAAATCGTTTGTGGAGAACTTTCCTGGTTCTGAAGACGTCAACATCCCTGCAAACAACATTAGCAGCTGCTGCACATCTAGCAGAGGGACAATTCTTACATGAGGAGCAAACATTGAGCAGAGCAAAGTCTCTGATGTACCGAGCAGTAACTCAGAGACCAACAATTTCCAGAACAGAAGGGCAGAATTTCAAGCCAAAGTAAACTTGAGTAAGAAAGAGAGCATCAAGGCGATGTCTCCTAGTACGTAAAGTATGCAATTTTAACTCCTCAAGAGCAAGAGAATAACTGTAATGGACTTGAGGATAGAAACAAAAAAAAAAAACATAGGGCCGTAAACCTCTGCTGGATGCTTTCCAGCTTATTGGCATCAGTTGACATAATCGAATGCCAGACTACGGATGCGTATTAAAGCTTAGATCTAACTAATGCAATGTACAATCTGAGCATACAGTCTAGAGATGAGAAATTGAAAGTAATGTTATGAACTAGACCCAACAGTTTAACACAGCGAGAGAAAATGTAATTGACGTGGTCATGGAGATACAGTTTAGCATCAATAAACACTCCCAGGTCTTTTATAGAATTGGTCCAGGCTATTGACGATTGAAAAATTTTATAATTGTAGATCAGTACGTAGGTTTTCCTGGAGAAGTATATAACTTTAGTTTTACCGATGTTAAGTTTCATACAGTTAAAACTGCACCAACCTTGTACAGAGTTAATGTCAGACTGAAGTAGATAGCAGTCCTGAGGAGAATTAATGGCTTGGTAAATTTTGATACCATCAGCAAATGGAAGACAATTAAAGTGGGCAACTGTGTCGCATATGTCATTAATAAACACATTGAAGAGAAGGGGTCCCAAGACAGATCCCTTAGGAACACCAGAGAGAACTTCAAAAGGCGGGGAAAGAACATCAGAAACACAAATGTGAGAGTTCTGGCTCGATAGGTAACTGCGAAACCAGTTTACATAGTCACCAGAAAGCCCAATAGCACTAAGCTTGTGAAGAAGAATAGAATGTGAGACGAGGTAAAATGCATTGCTCAGATCAAAATAAATGGCATCAGCTTGTCTCTGAGAGCCGACTATAGGGGAAATAAAATCAATGTAAGTTACCAAGTTGGTGCTTGTGGATTTAGTTTTTGAAAAGCCGTGCTGATAAGGGCTAATTTTAGATTTTAGATAATGGAAACATGGTCATGAACAGTAAATTCAGATATTTTAGAAAAATTACTCAGTAGAGATATAGGCCCATAGTTGCTAACAGAGGTGCATTTCCCTTTTTTGAGAACAGGAACAATTGCTGCTTGCTTCCATAGGGTGGGAAAGTAATGCTGAGATCTTTGATTAAAGAAATGTTTAAGAATAGGTACAAATATATCAGTAAAACCCTTAATAATGAATCCAGGGATACCGTCAACTCTAAGACTTAGGTGGTCTCAGGTGCTTAATGGCATTGATAACATCCGAATCAGAAACAGATGCTAAAGGTAAGAATTCAAAAGATGACAAAAGTTTGGGGAAGACAGTAGGACAAGGATTGTGGTATACTTATTGAAAATGCTTTGAAAATTCCTCAGCAGTATCGTTAAGTTTGATTAATTGCTTACCATCAACCTCAAGCTGGATGGAAGTAGAACTTCTTTTCCTAATGGAGGCCACATATTTTCAGAATTGCTTGGGTTGCGACTTTAAATTTCCGTCCACAGATTTCAACCATCTAAGTCTGTCAGACTTAATAGTAGCCTTAACTAGCTTATGATGGAAAGACAATTTTTGGTAAAGGCAGTCGGATTTCTTTTTTTAGAACATCTGTAGAAATAATTCTTTTCCTTCTACGAGTGTAAGTCAATAAGTAAGTTACAAATGGATATAGAACTTAAATAAGAGTACTGATTTGAAAAATGCTTTTGTTTCCCAACATAATCTCCCTGTACATTGAGGCACTTGTCCCATCGTTTCATAAGCCCCTGAAAACCCGCAGCATAAAATTCTTTGGGCTGCTGTCGGAACCAGGCGGTGACTTCCCTTTCTACAGCTTCATCTGGTATTATTAATAAGATGAAAATCATCCTCTGCAACAGAGACATGAAATGATGCATACCGATCATGTTTAGTTTTTAACCTGGTGCAAGGGAAACAAGCTGCAGTTGGTCCTTTAGAGATGTTTCAACATCAGATGATGTTACATCTGGGGGAAACTGAGAGACAAAAAGGGACTTCATATGGCCCCTCTTCTGCACAACAGAGAGAGAAGAAGAGCTTCTCACTCTGATCATGGCAACCCTGGGTTTCTTGGTGGTATTGGCAACAGTGTTTACGGGAGACGGGGCCACCTGCTTCTTCTTAACTACCATTACAACATCACCACCGGAAGGGTTTTCACCTGTCACAACAGACGGCTCAGGTAGTGAATTCATACCTTGGTGACACTAGGTTTACCATTAACTTCACACACAACATCCGTATATGATTTTGCCGTAGTTATGGCAGATGTAGCAGCCTCACGCTGTGTAAACAGCAACAACAACAACAATAATAATAATAATAATAATAATAATAATAATAATAATTGGTGGTGGTTGTGTAACATATTTTCTGGCTGAACAGTTAAGTTGAAACAGATGGGAGTGAACACAATGCGCTAGTCCAGACAATGTTGTAATCTGAAAGTATTGGCCTTTCTTACTAATAGGTCTGTTGTAATTACTGGAAAAGGGTGGTTAAGTATTATTACGCCTGATCATTTACTTTAACAGCCATTCAGTGCTGTCAGCTAGTACTCCACTTCCATCACATCAGCGGGGGTGAACTATTATAGCCACCCAAACAATTCCCTGTATGAGCAACTTATGATAAACTGTTACCAGAGACCAGTTCTCAGGTTTCAGAGTGCAAATCTTGTGCCTTTTTGATATTCAGCTACAAGTGTCAATAGCATTATAGCATGCCAGTGAAACATTTGTAAGTTATTTTTATATCAGCCATGAATACTTAACAAAGCCCATGTCTCACTTGGGCTTTTTGACCCCAAGTAGGGAAATGGTGCTTTAGAAAAATGGATGTAATGAGGAAGGAAGGTAGGATGTACATATTATGGAGGTTAATTGCAAGGCAAATAGAAACAGAAAACAAATATTCACAGCGACATTGTTATAAGAAGTAATATTGATGAATATGTGACTGTGTGTATTAAATGATATATTTTACTTTCAAGTTAATACAGTTTGACTCATTGCAGCCATGTAGCTCAGCAAGACCCAGTCAACCCTTGACAGTGTGCATTTTCCTGGAGCTTTCACACTATAATCTCTAGAAATGCAGTTTGCAAAGGAAAGTTGACTTACATATGCCTACTGCCATAACGTGGGGGCACGTGGTAGCATAGTTGGTTGAGGCACAGTGCTACAAGCCAAAAGGTCATGGGATGGAATCCCAACAAGGTGGATTTTTTCAATTTACCTAATCCTTCCAGCCGCACTATCGCCCTGGGGTCAACTCAGCCTCTAACAGTATTGAGTACCAGGCATATTCTTGGGGGTAAAGGGCGGCCAGCACATAAGGCTGACAACTTACCATCATCTATGAGCCCATAGTCTTGAAAATGTGGGAACCTCAACATCTCACAACCCTATGGGCCTCCACGGCCTGTTACAGGGATACCTTTACTTTTTTACTTTTTACTACCATAATGTGAATTTTTTAAACTCAGCCTGTAAGTCTTGTTGGCAGATTGTCGAGATCTCAGATTTAGTTTAGCTCAAATAACTGCTAGTTTGATGACATTTGGCCATTTATTTCAGCTTCTCACCAAGCCCCTCGTGGTACTTACCCGCTACACCAAAACAACACAAGTGATGCCTCAGCACATACTAGTCTCAGCAGTGTTTCTGGAAGAGGACACTCATCGAAACGCCAGAAAAGTAACAGTTCACGTAAAGCTGGAGCATATGTCTCACGATGATGTCTGCTGTCTATGTGAGGCCCGTGAGGCAGTTATCTCTCTTTGTTAGTAAACTACATATACTGATAATAACTAATTTTTAATATCGCAAATGACATATTGTGTCCAAATCATTTTTTTTTTTTGCAGTGCATAAAGAAACTTAAAAAAAATAAGAAAACCAAGCAGATGGCCAAAAAATATTTTTCGTCGGTGTAGCAACACATGAAATACAGTTGCATATTTTTGATTAAAATTTACTGAAGTGGCTTTGTTGAATAGAGAAGGTTGGCTTGATGTCATAAACTATACACCTGTTAAATAGGTCATATTGGTATGGGGTTCTGGACATTCAGCAGTCTAGAGAGAGAGGTTTATTTTTCAACAGGTAACATTTAGAGTTTAGCATTGTGCTTATCTCTTTCTTAGTTTCTCATGTATTCAGTTAAGATTTCACACACATCCTCAGCTAAAGAATTGCATTAAGTATTTTTAAAAGTGAAATCTGTTTATTAGTTATATTAACTGTAAAATGTCTTACATTTCAAATAAAAGTATCGCATGAAGATTCGAGAGGCATGCAGTTCAAAATAAGAGGATGCTAATGTCTGATACATACTAACTAGCAATATCCAGCTGAAGTAACTGTGCAGCAGATTGTACAGGAGAACTCCAGTTCTCACAAAGAAGCTGGTCCATTGCCATTAACAACCACATACCAATTCCTTCAGTGCTAAGGAGGAACTGCAATAATTGTATATGTATTGTAAACTTGTAGAGGAGCACCAAAGAGACTGGAAGATCTTGACATCACCTGTCTTTTGTTATTGATAATACTGTTTATTCTTTTATTAGTGCCATGTCATTATTTTAAAAACATTTATTTTAGGGTGTATGTAGTTTTATTAAAAAATGAAATTCATGTTTCAGAATGGAAATTCCAACCCAAGTGAAAATTCATGAAAAGGACTTTGGCTCACAGACTTGCTCTTTGTCTGTATGTATGTGTGTGTGGGGGAGAGAGAGGGAGAGAGCCATTTATTTTTCTTAGTGCAGATATTTTACATTCATATTCGATTGTAACTTGTTTATTATAACAATTTTTTCGGAATAAATCTAATTTATAAGTTCTGACATGGGCCTGATAATTCTGTATCCCTACCAGCCTCTACCTGTAAGACCCATAACTGTAGAGACAGACCAAGAATACTGTGGCATATTTATGCCATGCAGGGATCTTTGAGCCACAGAAATCTCTAAACACAGCTATTACATAACAATAAGGATAGCAGCGTTTGCTCCGTGCTGTGCCAAGCCAAGCAAAGCCTCTGTAAACACGGCGATTATGTAACAGGGCAAGCTGTGTTTTCCACCTATCCGATTGATGGTTTTTAGGAGAAACTGGAATTCCTAAGAAACCAGCTGGAAGCAGTTCTTGGAGTGAGCTCGCATAGGTAGTTGCGAGAGAAGCATGCGAGTACAGAATAATACAAGGGGTCTGCCTGTGAGGATGTACAGTGTGATTAGAAGATTGTATGTGTAATATGTGATAGTAGTGACTGCTGAGAAGTGAGCAGTGAAGACTTTATGTGTGCTATAGCGCAGTGAGATTGGGAGTGTGTAATTCAGCGAGACTTATAGTTCCTGTGTTAAAAAATATGTGAAAACTACAGCATAGACCGAGAAGATTAGTGTATAGTGCGGGTAAATTGTGTAAATAAGTAATTGTAGTTACGACTTGTAGGTTGTTAATTATCGATCTGAACGGCGTCTCAGTAAGCCAAACACATTACAATATTTTATTCAAGGGTGCAATCCTAAAAATACATTTTCTGGGACAGTCTGGCATGCAGTTCCAAGTCTCAATTGGCATGAAACATGATGTTTTTAATGATAGTATTTTGCTTCTAAATGCAGAATTGAATGACAAGCACTTCATAAAACAACTAAAGGGGCTGATACTTTACCTGAACTAGGGAGGTCCAAAAACAAGGTATAAAGTTTTTATTTTCCCATTATATTTAAAGCATTTAATAAAATTCCTTCTAAAACTTTTTTTAAGTATTTTCATTAAAATATTATTCTGTTCTTAAAAAAAGAAGTACGTATATACAGCAGAATTTTTATAAACTGAATCTGAGATTTGATTTTAATATTGTCACATGACAGCTCAAAGCCGGAATATACCCAGAAAAGGCATCCATTGCTAGACAACAGCTGGTAAACACCTATCCACGAAAACCAATAAACACGCTCCTGCGCCACCAATAGCTGTGCCATCACAAGGCAACAGCTGCTTAACATGTCAGGCAATAATGGAGGAATGGTGGAAACAGTGTTTTCTGCTCCTCTTATTATATTTGGTTGGTGGGAGAACGATATTTTTCACTATAAACTACTTTCTGTAGAAATACATGATTGCTTCTAATTTTTCATAAAATTCTGGACATGTTCAGTATTAAATCTGCAAAATATCAAGGTTTCAATGGTACTTTCCAACATTCAACTATGGTCCAGGGACCATATGTTGTTTGTAATTGTGAAGTCATTCAACAGCAGCTGATTTTCAAGGTAAGCACGATAATTCCGTAACTTTCATGAAGTTAAGAATCATAATTGTCAAAAAGTTCAACCCATTTTTCTTCAGATGTGGTCCTTTTCTCCTCCCAGCGTTTCCTTGTGTCACAGTCATACATAAATCGCTCTGCAAATATTGCTTTATCAAGAAGTCCACCAATATCTATCATTGCCTGTTCACTAATTGCAATGATCATTTCTTTAGTTTCTTCGACTTCGGCCCAAGTAAATTCACCATTTATCCCTGTCGCTGAAAAACTTTCTTCCTAGAGCAGTATGTAAGATGTACACGTTCCACTGCGGCATCCTGGGTTTGATCCCGGGTCTGGTCAAGTGGGATTTGTGGTGGACAAAGTGGCACTGGGGCAGATTTTCTCCGAGTATTTCGGTTTCCCCTGCCAATCTTCATTCCACCAATTGCTCCACAATCACCCTCACCTATCATCTGGGGCTGGTACAATAGGCCAGAAGTGGCTGCAGTACAAGGGACTTAGTCCCACCCCACTAGCAGTAAAAAAAAGATTATACACATTTCATAAAAGCGTCTACTTCTTAAATAAAAGTTTTGGAATTAATATCTCCAGTGTCCTCAAAATTCTGTAACTACAATTCAGCTCCCTGTAGAATAAAACGGTTCTCCTTTTGAGTTCACGAACTATCTCTGTTGCACTAAATTGAGCTGCCTGGGAAAGAACTTTAAATATACTCTGCACAGCCCTTCAAGAAACTTCTTGATAATTAAACTAACTTCTATGCAATATATAATATGGAAAAACTGTGCTACCGTCAGCACAACACTATTTCAGTTACTACCCTTAGATCTTTATTACTGCAACATGTTTCAGTTATACATGACCATGAGGCAGGAATACGTATAGTTATTGAAAATACTGATATGGATCCTTATCGGTGCAATGCGTCGTAATGAATATTAACATAAAAACTTTGCCTCAGATTGGAGTATACTTAAATGGCAAATACACGATTAAAAAAATATATATGCAGGTGGTTAGGGGTCTGCATGCCAACTAAAATATTTTATATTAAGGGTATTTCCTGCTTCCCCTGTGACAAACTTAAATTCTAGCACTTTAACTTGCACACCCACTTATGGTAAGAAACGGGGCACTAACACAGGTATGACTTTTTTGTTATTTCTGTCAAAGTGTCGAATCTAATGCAACAAACTTCAATTTGTTCTACTCTACATGCAGATATTCATTATATATTGGTGAAATTACATTTACAACAGCTTCCCAGTTTGTTCTTACAATGCTGTTGGTTCAAACATTCTTAATATGAATTTGGAAGTGCAGTACAATGCTATACAACTTAAACAATGAATGCCTGTATGGTAGGCGAAAATGGCCTCTATTGCAGCAATGATAAGGTCCTTATCATTAAAAAATGTAAATGATGGAGGGTCGGTTGCTATATACCCACATTCATGCAACAGCAGTAACTTAGGTAACCACAAACTGCGCATTGCAAATGATCCCTCCGCTCCAGTCACCACCTTCTGTTCTTGGATAAATTGTTTATTAATTGGCGAATTCTTTACAAGTTATCTGCGCAAGAAATGCATATTGTTGCACCTTTAATACCATTTTCAAGTTTCAATAATTTCCAATACCAGTCAGTGTCGGGATTAATTCAGATATATATTCAGAACACGGCCAAATTACCTCGACTTTCGCAAGGTGAAAATATGAGATCAGTGAACTAACCAACTAACTCCATGGAATTGAGTCCCTCTTGATAATCCGCCAGTCGCTCAGCTGCTGAAGAATTTCCAAAAATTTTATGCAACCTCAAGGTTTATTACCATGTTCACAAGAGTCCTCCACCTGCCCTGCAGACGTAACAGAACAGGCTAATGAACATAAAAAAACAAGCTGCTGCAACAGAACACTTGAAGAAAAATATATAGTTCTAAACAAGTCAAGGTGGAATACAACTTCACAAAAGTAATGAAAATTTTAATAATTTTATTTCATTATATGAAGTTGACTACAGCATGTGATTTTGGTGCATATTAATGCAGTGTAGCACCTACACCTTAAGATGGCTATCTAGGGCCAAAACATGTTGTGTTCAAAGCGTGAAGTGGAAGAAAAGGGAACAATTTCTTGCATTATTGATGGACTGTGATATACATAGACATTTAATATGGTTTGCAACAGGATGTTTAAATACAGAATTGTGTATTCTAATTTTTACATTTTTCGACAGTAGACAAGAAGACGAAAGGTTCCGACCTGAATTCAATCTTCTCTTAATTTCCCCCTGAATAACATTTTGATCTGTTATTGTCATTTGCAAATACTTGAACTTGTATAGTACTACCCTTCTAACTGAAACGTGATTTACTGAAGTCTGTGAATAGCTAATATATTGCATCACTGTACCCTCATTTTTTTCTCCAGTATCTGAAGAATACCGAACTATGTTGAAACACACTAATGATCCCCAATAATTTATTATACATATGGACTTAACCTTGAGAGAAGTATGCCTCAATAATTACTACAGTCAGTTTCATCGCCCTTTTTGTAAATTTGTACAATAATAGACTCCTTCCACTGCTTAGGTAGTTCCTTATTCCAAAAGTTATGAATTCTGGGTCTTTTGCAGAAACATCGCTTCATCCCCCACAAGGAGTGTGCTGTAACATGATCAAGTTCCCGCTTCTCCATTGCACAGGCTAATGTGGCTGTGTCATATTGCAGTGCAGTCATAGCCAATCCCTACCATGTTCATAAATGAAGAATATGCTGACAGCGTTTCATATAAGGTTTCTGCAATGGAAATGGTAGTTCTCCTGCGATGGAATATCAGCAACAATATCCACTTCAAAGAAGTCCACATCAGAAAACATTTGAGAACATACACAGCACTTCAGGAGAGACTGCTTCCTTCCCATGAGCAAATGCAAAATGTGAACATCCTCACTGAATCAATTACAGCTTTATGCATGAACAGATGTCTCTCCACATGTCTCAGTCTCTAGAATGATTACATTACACATATCAACTGAATATGGATAATCCCCACCATGTATGCGTTGATGTTTTTTTAGATTACTCTGTTGCCTGAATGATTTATTACACACATTACAGGAATATGGACGTTCTCCACTGTGTATGCGTTTATGTCTCTTCAAACTACTCCCTTGATTGAATGATTTATTACACACATCACAGGGATATAGACGCACCCCACTATGTATGTTTTGATGCGTTGTCAAATTACTTGGAAATCTAAACGATTTATTACATACGTCACAGGAATATGGACGCTCTCCGCTATGTATATACTGATGTGTTGTCAGATTACTTAGAGATCTGAATGTTTTACTACACACATCACACGAATATGGACGCTCTCCACTATGCAGACCTTGATGTTTCTTTAGATTACTCAGTTCCCGGAATGATTTACTACATACATCACACGCATATGGGTTATCTCCATTATGTACATGCTGGTGTTTCTTCAGATTACCCCGTTCACAGAATGATTTATTACACACATCACATATATATGGATTTTCTCCACTGTGTATACGTTGATGTTTTTTCAAGTTACTCTGTTCTCGGAATGATTTATCGCATGAATCACAAGAATAAGGATACACCCCACTATGTATATGCTGATGTCTGTCTAGATGACTCAGTTGAGAGAATGATTTATTACACACATCACAGGAATACAGACGTTCTCCAATGTGTATGCGTTGATGTACCTTCAGATTACTTTGATATCTGAATGATTTATTACATACATCACATGAATAGAGGTGCTCTTGAAAATGCGTGGATTGACGTCCATTCAAAGCATTCTGAAAGTGAAAAGTATTAAGCTAATTCCCAATATAATGAAAAATGAGATTGAAATGAAGACATAAATAATTTCAATACGTACTTATATTTCTCACCAAACCCAATAAATGACCAGAAACTCTGTGTATGCTATAACAATTACAGGAGGCAGGAACTGCTCAGATAACCTGAGAATGGAAGTGACTGGTATTTAAGCTAAGAACTGTATATGCTTGGATGAAAATGATAAACTTAAATAGTAATAACCAAATTTTGTATACAAATTCATCTGTATCTGAAGAACATGAGAATGTGGTTTGGAATGGTGTGCTGATTTTCAAAGAACCCAAAAAAAGGCAAACATCCACATTTGCAGATAACATACCACAAGCATAACACAATTTCAACCACCATCACTTGTTTACGTTCTTGCTTTCAACCTAGCCTACCTGCAATTTTATAAACTGGTCTGCATAAAGGCTGGTCTTGGCTATATCTCAAACACCAGTGAAGAGCAGTTTAAAAATTTCCAAAACTGCTATATGCCTTTGCTGCACCCTGTGGCCCAAATCCACTACTAAATATTCACTTCAACTTTGGAACAAAGTGTGTACTTCATTGGTGCAGCCCAGTGGTTAGTGTTTAGTATACTAGCCTAATATATACAAGGTCATGGATTGGTTTCCGGTCATCACAATTAAATCACTCATGGAGCTGAGCCCTTCAAGCTGCCAATTATGCTCATTCAAGAACTTCCCAGCATTTTACAGAATCCAAAGGTTCATTACCCTGTTCACAAGAGTCCTCCACTGCTCCTTATCCTAAGCCAGTTTGATTCAGTCCATAACATCCAATTCTGTCTCTCTAAGATTCATTTTAATGTTGTTCATCCACCTATGTCTTGGTTTTCCTAGTGGTCTCTTTCCTTCTGGCTTTCCCACCAATATCCATTCACTCTCCATCTCCCCCATTCGTGCTACATTCCCTGCCCATCTCATCCCCCTTGACTTGATCATTCAAGTTATACCTGGAGAAGAGTACAAGTTACGAAGCTCCTCATTATGCAGTTTTCTCCAACATCCTGTTTCTTCATCCCTCTTCGGTCCAAATATTCTCCTCAACACCCTGTTCTCAAACATTCTCAGTCTGTGTTCCTCCCTTAATGTCAGAGACCAAGTTTCACACCCATACAGAACCACAGACAAAATGTATATTCTAATTTTTATGTTCTTGGACAACAGATGAGACAGCAGGTTCTGGACCGAGTGCTAGGAAGCATTACCTGATTTCAATCTCCTCTTAATTTCCTCCTTACTTGAGTCAATTAAAGTTTGTGTGTTTTTCTTTATGGTATCTATATTATCACCCAGGAGATTCACATCATCAGCACAGACCAATAGCTGATGTGTTCCATTCAATTTCAGTCCCACCTGGTTTTCCTGGACGTCCCTAATGGCACATTGTAAAGCAAAGTTGAAAAGCAGTGGTGATAAAGCATCTCCTTACTTTAGACCATTCTGGATAGGAAAATTATTAGAGAAATGTTTACCAACACGGACTTTACTATAAGTTTTGTTTAAACACATTTTAATCAACCTAACTAGTTTCATGGGTATCCCAAACTCTTATTAGAATATTGTACAATACTTCCCTCCTAAATGAATCATAGGCTTTCTTGAAGTCTACAAATAGCTGATGTACTGTCTCATCGTACTCCCATTTTTCTCCAATATCTGACAAATGCAAAAAATTTGATCTGTTACGTCAAAACCCACACTGATGATCCCAAATAATTTAATCTATATACAGCAGTGATATCCCATGAAAATTACAAGATATATCCACAAAACAAGTTCCATGTGCAAATATTCCCGCTGCAGCACTGTGGTCAGTATGGTGCTCACGTGTGCAGAGTTTGTTGGTCCTTTTGGAAGGCATGGATGCCATTTGCAGACAATCAAACCATATTTATGCATCATCTTGTGTGTTTACAATATCCAAGAAACTCGAGAAGCCCACTGCATGTGAAATACAGTCTGTAATCCTTCTCTTGAATACAACAGACATGAAACAGGCTGACATTCATCATCAACTTTGTGAGGTATCTGGAGAACATGCTATGTGTGATTCAATGGTAAGGAGATAGGTGAAATATTTTAATAGACATGAAAATGTGCATGATGATCCACAGAGCAGCCAACCATCTGTGATTAATGACGATTTGGTGCGTGCAGTGGAAGAGAAGATTCAAGAGAACAGACAATTCACCATTTTATCACTTCCCCTGCATTTTCCACAAATTTCACGGCCACTTCTTCATGAAACTCTGTCTCATAAACTTTGTTTTCAGAAATTGTGTTCACGCTGGGTGCCGAAGGTGCTTACAGATAAACACAAAATGAAACAGCAGCCCAGTGCGTTGACCTTTCTGACACAAAACAGTGAGCAAGGCGATGACTTCTTGAGCCTCATAGACACAGGGGGTAAGACATGGGTGTCAGATGTAACCCCTGAATTGAAGCAGAAGTCCACGGAATGGAGGCACACATCATCGACAATAAAGAAAAAATTCAAACAGACCATATCAACTTGCAAGGTCATGTGCACGGTGTTTTTGGACAGGAAAGGAGTTCTGCTTGTGTAATTCTCACCTCAAGGCTCAACAATCAATGCAGGTGTCTACTGCAACACACTTAAGAAACTGCGTCATGCTATCCAGAACAAGCGACGTGGCATGCTTAGTCGGGGTGTTGTGATGCTTCCTGACAATGCGTGCCTACACACTGCTGCCGCAACGCAAGATCTTATCGCGACATTTGGCTGGGAACATTTTTATTATCCTCCCCCCCCTACATCCCAAACAGCATCCTATACCAAAGTTCTGGCAACACTATGTATGAAAGACAAGAGGTGTAGTTTGTCCTATGCACTGGATTTCTTGAACAGAATGGAAGCACTGAACAAAGTGCACTAAAGAAGTCCTTTGGCTATTTCAATGTTCTTCTCAGAAATGAATACTTTACCACAGTCATACTTGCTTCATTTTTCCTTGCAACATTTACTTCAATCTTTTTCACATGATGGACACCATGGTGATAAACCTTGTATCTCTCCTTGTCTGTCACAATACAAGTCCACCTCTTTTCAAGGTGTTCGGATGTTCCTTCAGACCCTCTGAAAGGCCTCTATTTTGTGTAGCAGAGCCCTGCATTGCTGTATTCCTTTCATTAGGATATTCTGACATAATGACAATACATAGCAGCTGTATATAAACTTCATACCCTTGTCCTAAACATGGATTCCATAGGTCAAAAACAGCTTTCATCAAGGTCAAACCACATTCACCATAAATAAGAAGCCTGCAAATATACACCATTGCAGAACCTCATACCACCCTTATCATGAACTCATAATTCATATTTTGTCTGGGTTGTACAGTTGGAGTGCACTCAACCCATCCAAACTCTGGCATTCTCTCTTCAAGTGCAATTTCTTCTTGTGGAATAAATACAGCTAAACTTATGATAAAATCTCTAAAAACAGAATATATCAAAATATTGTTCATCTTGACTGTCCTGGTACATAACCACATCACTGAAACACAGAAATACTAAAATGACTTCATATCTGTTTCCAGCCATTATTCTTGGAAACACTGGTTAGAAAATGTAAAAAGGTAAAGTTGTGCCTGGGCTTAAGTAATTAAGCACTATGCCATGATGATATACGGAGTGGAGTACAAATCCATATCTTCTTGACCTCAGCACCAGTTATAAGCGAGTGATCACCATCATGCACTGGCCACTTTAACCCCCCTCCACAAAACAGCTCTAATACCCACTGGACACGAGGCTGGGTGGAGCACAGAGTCGGTCTGGACATGGAAAAATCATGCCCCTACTGGGGCTCAAACTCCAACCCCTCAGCCATCCAGCCCATAGCCAGTCACTATACTGACTGCACTAAAACTGAATCTTCTGTTCAGTATGCTTTTAGACAAACTATTATGTCCCAAAATTTCTTAATTCTGGCAGCCATAGGTAATGAGGTTTGAACATGTAGTATTTTATAAACGAGTATAGTAAAGTTACCCTGTAACAGGCCATTAAGGCCCATAGGGTTGAGAGAGATTCAGGCTCCCACATATTCTAGACAATCGGCTCACAGATGGCAGTAAGGTTGTCAGCCTTATGGGCTGGCCACCCTTTACCCCCCAGAAATATTCCTGGCACTCATTTCTGTTAGAGGCTGAGTCAACCGCAGGGCCTTAGTGCAGCTGGAAGGATTAGTTAAATGGAAAAAAAATCCACCTCACTGGGACTCGAACCTGCGACCTCCCAACCTGTAGCATAGTGCCTCAACCAACTATGCTACCACATACCCCATTTTATAAATAAGTATGATGCATGTGATACTGTGCTGCTGAATGGTGGCAACGTGAAGAGCCCGAATCAGTGCCACTTTCACTCACATCACATTCAGTTGCCGTTGGCTGCTATGCAAGTCTGCCAACGTTCATACAGCTGAAACATATTGGCAGAAAATTCCCGTACGGCGTCTCTTGTGGCACTGACAACCTCCTTGGACGTTTGAAATCTACGACCACATAGCTTTGCTTTCAAGTGGTGAAAGAAAAAGAAATCGCATGGTGCGAGATCAGGTGAGTACGGAGGGTGTGGCGAAACGGTGACCTGTTGCCTTGTCAATTCCTCTTGGACAAGAACAGATCGATGTGCAGGGACGTTGTCGAGTAGCAACACCCAATTCTTCCTACGCCAAATCTCAGGATACATCACGAACTGAATCGCATCAATGGATAAGGATCTCCTTGTACCTGTCGTTTTCAGTTGCTCCATGTGGGATAAATTTCATGTGAACAATTCCCGCTGAGTCGAAAAACAGTTCAGGCATGACCTTGCCTTTTCATCTCTCCTGTCATGGTTTCTTCTTTCTCGACGATTACGGTGATTTCCAGGTGGCTGATTGTGGCTTCAGTTGTGGACTGTAAATAAAACACCATGTTTCGTATCCTGTAATGATCTGGTTGAGAAATGTCTCATCTTCTTTGGCACAACTAATCAGATCACCACAAATGGTCATGTGATCGTCACGTTGGTCTCGCGTCAGGACATGTAGTTGTGCTCGGTAACGCGTGTTCAGGTCATCAGTAAGAATTTTGTGGCACGTACCATGGCTTATCCCTATCGCTGCTGCAATATCATCTATTGATTGGCATGTACCAATGTTGCAATTTCTTTGATCTTGCATTCAGTTCTGAGCGCCTTTGGCCGACCACTATGCTCATCATCCTCCAAACTGTCTCACCCCTGCGCAAAACGTTGGTACTACTTAAACACGGCACTGCGGCCCAAAGCTTCTTCACCATACACTTGCTTCATCATGTTAAACATTTCAGCAGGGGATGTGCCTAGTTTTTGGCAGAACTTGATGTTTGCCCATTGTTCAAACTGCCACATCTTCAATTTCCGCCACTCACATTTAACTGAAGTTCACAATAGAGGCCATAGTTCTGCTTACACTGTTTGCACACAACTGCCTCTTGCTGTGATAAGACAGGAACTGACAGGGCATCATATCGTGCCTCAACTTATCTGCTGTAGGGCACTGCAACGACGCTTTGCGGCCAGTCCATGAACTTGTTGACTATGGTAGTATATGAACATCACAAAAGACTGGTTTTCCTTCATTTAGTTACAGATACCAAAAATTTCGAGCCCAAAGCACTGTCAGAGAGTTTGGGCATAGTACCTATAGCTGCACCCCCTTGAGCACCAGTACCCCTACAGTCACTCACCTTCATGGTTAAAATGTCTTTGTTGCAGACCACCCTTCACCTAGACTCCAGTCATACAATGCATTATCCCTTGCAGAAATACTGTCAGCTAAATCTCAGGGTTCAATGATTTGATTAGGTGCTCTACAGGTAGGGTCATTTCCTAGCATGGTAAGTAATGTGTCTGACAGAGCAGACATTAATCCCAAAGAATATTGTGTGCAGAACATAAGTGGATGCCATGTAGGTCAAACAATTGGTACAGATCAGGACCACATGGAACTGAAATAGCCAAAAGCCCAATTCTTAATTGGTCAAGTAATAGATTTATTATAATAATCACTAGACACATGATAATAAGAATACAACCCTTATATCTAGCATAATACATGTGATGTAACGTTCACTCAAGTGTAACTCCCGATTTGGTACTGCACTAAGCCATTTTATTTTGTGATCATAAGTGCCTTAATATGGAACTTTAAATGTAGTTTCCTGTTAGCTTGCAGGTTTCACATTTACTGCAGCTGCTAAAGCGAAATTAGACTATTGACTAAAGCGTGAATATGACTGTGAAAAAATACTGAAGTGCTGAGTAACAAAGTGTTGACTTAATGCAAAAGGAAGTCATACGGCACATGTGACTGTAAAGAAGAAGCAGTAACAGATTTAAAGAGCCTTGGTAGGTCTGACTGGGCCCATATATACTGCTCAATGCTTACTGCACTTGCACCATCAATGTTGATACGCATATGTGAACTCTCAATAGCCGGACAAGATCACGCTGGTGCATCCCACAGAGGTTTTCTTATCATGCACAGGCAGGGTTATAGTGAGAAACAGCATCTATCTGCATTCATGACTCTAAATTCCATAAAGGGGTTCACTTTAGGAAGAACGTACCAGCAAGCTAATAAGAAAGACCTGACCCAGCTACACCTGTTGACAGAACAAAACCTCTACAGCACCCACTTCAACTGCTAGACAACATGAACCAAATCTTGCAATATCATGGTGCCTTATAATCACATGTTGTACCAGTGCATATCCAGGGTTCAAAGCAGGGCTACACTGCCACAAACCCATTAACAGCCAGGCTCATACACAGAAGTGAATGTATGAACACTATAGGCGAAACATGATACTTACGGAATATGCCCCAAAATGGATACCAACATACTCGTACAACTCACCTCATGTTCAGAGTTCATATCTGGTAATCTAATGAGCAGAGGATCCTCCTCCTGTGTATCTGTCACAGCCTCAACTTTTACACTTCCAACATGAGATGATGTTTGACATGTCTCACTACATGCACCAGCCTCAGCTTTCAGCAAATCCATAAAGTTCTGTAAAACCATTACACTCACATCAGTCAGGCTGTGCCCATTGCATGAAAAAAGATCCTCTTTCATTACAGCTGTTTTGCACTGCACCCAACTGATAACAGTTGCACTGTACAGAGTTTCTTCTTCATAACTATGAAAATTATTAATAAAATAATAATTGAGAAAATATACACGTTTCTTTAAAAGCATGCCTTTCGTGCAACATTTAAATAAAGACCCAACAGTGACAGGGAGCCAGGATAGCATAGTCAGTATAGTGACTGGCTACGGGGTGGACACCAGAGGGGTAAGAGTTCGAGTCTTGGTAGGGCAAAAATTTTCTCTTCTCCAAGTCATCCAGACCACCTTGTAAGGATCCCTTGCCAGGGTTATGGTGAAGACCTAAACAGCAGCAACGGTGCAGAGGGGAAGCAGCTGCAAGGAGTGGATTACTGTTCATTCAGAGGGTCTAAGCCTCAGCAGTTGTGTTGCCGTTCTTGCACTAGACTTTGACAGCGATTTTCCAGGTGCATGTTCAAATCTGACTTCTATGTCACCTAACTTGTCCTCAGGAAGCACTCAGTGCCTATCCACTGTCCCACTGATCCAAGCCTACGCACCAAATTGTGAATTGTCTACTGGGAACTCTTTCGTCATGAAATTTATGTCAATATTTTCGCTGACACTTTCTAGCAGATCCATATTTCACACAGATACACACAATGTCTGTACAAGGGGTGGACCAAAAAATCCAGCCCTCGCACTGTAACCTTCAATAATCTACAAGATATACGTGTTGCTATGAAGTATACCAAACTGTGATGGAACATGCTGCATACTAATTGTAAATGAGGAAAAACAGCTAATGGAGCTGATAACTGCAGCCAACTGCTGAGAAATCAGAAACAAATTCCCATGCATGAACTGCACTGCTTGCCATGAAACTTAATGTTGTCAAGTGGTCCACAAAGTTAGTAACTTCCCCTAATTCTTAACATTATCGACCATCAGGCACATTCATTCATCAGCAAAATTTGTATGCACCTCGAAGCTAGTGGTGCACCGGTCACCACGAAGTGCACAGCAGTTACCTGATCAACAAAGGTAAGAACATCCCTGTAGAATACATGAGTTTATGGATCCCAGGCCATAATGTTTCACCTCATGCTTCAATCAGTTCTACCAGAACCAGTTACACCTCTTCAACACTGCGACATCAACTTCAACTTCAAAAGGACTAGGTTGAATGCATTTTCATCTGTGTAACATCCCTAACGCTATGTACATTCAATACCTGAAAGAAGTCATTCTTACACCTATTGAAAATGTTCTGCAATCTGCAGGAAGATCACCATTCTCATCCTTTTCCAAGTTAGTTCTAGGTTTGTGGCCCTTCTTAAATTCATTTATTTTCCTCTAAATAAATCTCTAATGTTCTTGCAAGCTCATTAATTTTGTCTCTCAGGTACTCACTCTCTTTGGTCCTGAAAACTCCGGTAGGTTCGTGTTTTATACTGTTCATATTATTCCCACTTATTTGGCTTGGATCTGGTAACCACTGCAATCTGGCTTGTTTCCTTTGATCCAGTAGTTCTGAATATGCTTTGCTGAACCATAGCTTATGCTGCTTCAGTTCATAATAAACTTTCTTTCGGCTGAAATTTTGATATTCCCCCTAATAGTTTCATAAGCTCTATTAATATCCACATCATCATCTAAGATTTCCAAAGTTGCACACCAGTTTGATATTTTTAACTTGATACTGTTCATTACCCATGGACATGAGATTCAGTATTCAGTACTTGGAATGATAGAAGTATGTATAGGGCAGGTTCGCTCAGGGCAGTGGCAGAAGATATCTTAAAATATAAGTTAGATTTAGCAGGAGTACAGGAAGTCAGATGGGATGGAGGTGGCTCTTAAGGTTAAGTCCATACATTATGGAATTATTGGGGATCATCAGTGTGGGTTCCGATGCGACAGATCAACTAGAGATCAGATCTTTTGAATTTGTTGGATATTGGAGAAAAAATGGGAGAACAATGAGACAGTACATCAGCTATTCGTAGACTTCAAGAAAACCCATGATTCAGTTAGAAGGCAAGTATTGTACAATATTCTGATAGAGTTTGGGATACCCATGAAACTAGTTTGGTTGATTAAAATGTGTTTAAAAGAAACATATAGTAAAGTCCGTGTAGGTAAACAGTGGTCTGATAAATTTCCTATCCAGAATGGTCTAAAACAAGGAGATGCTTCATCGCCACTCCTTTTCAACTTTGCCTTAGAATATATCATTTGTAAGGTCCAGGAAAACCAGGTGGGACTGAAATTAAACGGGACACATCAGCTGTTGGCCTATGCCAATGATGTGAATCTAATGGGTGATAATGTAGATACCATAAAGAAAAACACACAAACTTTAATTGAGGCAAGTAAGGAGGTTGGTCTAGAAGTAAACATAGAGAAAACTAAGTATGTGTTGCTGTCTCATCACCAAAATGCAGGGCAAAATCATGACAACAATAAAAAACAGATGGTTTGAAAATGTGGCACAGTTCAGATATTTAGGAATGACTATAACAAATCAAAACCTGATTGACAAGGAAATTAAGAGGAGATTGAACTCGAGTAATGCTTGCTACCATTCAGTCCAGAAACTTTTGTCTTCTCGTCTGCTGTCCAAAAACATAAAAATTAGAATATACAAAACTATAATTTTGCATGTGGTTCTGTATGGGTATGAAACTAGGTCTCTGGCATTAGGGGAGGAACACAGACGTAGGGTGTTGAGGATAATATTTGGACCAAAGAGAGAAGAAGTAACAGGAGGTTGGAGAAATTGCATAATAAGGAGCATCATAACTTGTACTCTTCTCCAAGTATAATTAGAATGATCAAGTCAAGGATGATGAGGTGGTCTGGGCATGTAGCATGGATAGGGGAGAAGAGGAATGCATACAGGATATTGGTGGGAAAGCCAGGAGGCAAGAGATCACTGGGAAGAACAAGGCATAGGTGAGTGGACAATATTAAAATGGATCTTACAGGGATAGGATGGGATGGTATGGATTGAATTGGTCTGGCTCAGGACAGGGACCAGTGGAGGGCTCTTGTGAACACAGTATGAACTTTCAGGTTCCATAAAATTCTGGGAAATTCTTGAGTAGCTGCAGATTTGGTGACTCCTCAAGAAGGGCTCAGCTCCATAAGTAAGTAACTAAGTAAATACTGTTCTTTATTTCTAACTCATTTAGTTTCTTGAGATTGAATTTCTCAATTTCTTTTTTTAATTCCATAACTTTTGCCAACAACCATCAAGTAACCAGTATCACAGTCAAGTACAGTCAAGTACATTTAAATGCCATCTCCTATCTATCAAACTATGGTCCATCTGATTGTGTATCTTTCCTTCACAAGATATCCAGGTAAACTTATGAAAGTTAAGTGAGACTGTTGTACTCTTGATAATTAGATTTTTGATGTGGCAGAGTTTACTACTCTAACTCCAATATCATTACTAATTTCGTGTAAACTCTTGTTCTCAGCTGCTGGTTTCTCTACTTACTTTCACACTGAAATCTCCTATCACCACGTAACAATTTTGTTTGGAGATTTAAATACCCCTACTTAGCGTTTATTTTTGTTACACACATCCTATTAGAATAAGAGACATCTGCAGCAAGGTAAGGTAAAGATTAGTTGTTCCTGTACCTAACAAATAAGCACTACACCATGAAGATGTATGGGGGAGTGGATGTATAGGCCCACATTTTCTTGACCTCAGCACTAGTTGGAGGTGAGTGCTTAGCTTCATGCCCCAGCAGCTTTACCCCTGGGAAAAGACCCTCTGGTACCCATTGGATTGGAGGTTGGATGAACCTCAGAGCCAGTATGGATGGTGTGGAGAAGAGAAAATTCTTGACCCTACCATGTATTGAACCCCAGGCCCTCAGTAGCCCAGCCCATGACCAATCACTATTCTGACTATGCTACAGGCAAATAATGTGAAGGAAATATCTGATCTATATTCCTCTGGACCTAACCTGTAAAGATCACAAAATGTACTGGCTATGTTGCAAAAGAGAAAACAATACTTTGTTACATGAACAAATAACTGGTAGATCAGTCTTCACAAATTCCATCTACAATGTTTAGTATAAAAGGTGTTAAAGATATGGTTACAGGCTTTAAGGGGGTATAGTAATCCCTACAGTGAGTAAAAATGTCCCAGTAAACGTTATGTCCACAAATCAACGCCTTCTGAGATAAGGGTGTTTTGCATTTGATTTGATACCACGATAACTCTGCTGTAAGCATTAAGAGAGGGAGCAAAGGACCCAGATTCGCCCTGTCAATGAAATCTGGTTGATAATTTCTGGGATTGGATTCTGCGATGTGGATAATATTTTGCATGGGGTCAACATGCATCCCAAGAATTTCCATTGGCATAGCCGTATGTGAAAGGCATGTCTACAATTTCCCGAGTGCAGTAATAACATTCCATTACCAAATCATCAAACAGATTTAAAATCAAATGAGTATCACAACAGTAACTCCCACGTCTTCTTCCTGGGAGTACATAAGCAGTGCATCTACTGAATGTACTAAGACAAGTAACAGTAAGGTAAGCAAACATACATGGCACACACTGACCTCTTAATGCTCAATGCAGTGCTATTCAAGTATCCAGTCAAATGCAAAACTTGCCCATAGCTCAGCACGCATAGATTTATGGACATATGTTCACTGTGACTTTTCCCATGGAAGTCTGAAACAGAGTCCTTACTGAGATGATAGTTTCTCTCTTGGTCAAGAAATTGTCTGCATTCGTGCAACCCACATCAAATTTGTTGACCACACCAACATTAGGCCACCCCCTGGACCATACCCTCAGTAAGATAAATCTTGTCTACACTATCACAACATATTTCTTGAGGACCCACTTTCATATCACTGTCATATTTACACCTAGGTTCCCCAAATAGTCTCATCCCGTCAGTCTTTCACCTATAATTTTCCACGTATCACAGTTATTGCAGTTGTCAAATTCTGGAGTAAAAGTGGGACTACAACGAAGACAGTACATCAGCTATTCATAGACAGCAAGACACCCTATGATTCAGTTAGCAGGGAGGTACTGTACCACATATGGGCAGGTCCAGCAGAACGTGGGCATATGTAGACACATAACAAACAGGGAAGACTGGAACCTGGCCAGTCGGGTAATCGATCGATCAAAAACTAGATGGACCTTCAGACCATTTAAGTCTGTGGGAAGAGATGAAATTGTTCCAGCACTTCTGCAGCAAGGGATGGAACATTTAGTCCCACACCTACGCCATATATTCAGAGCCTGCATGGCGCATGGGTTTATCCCTGAAGCCTGGAGACAAATCAAAGTGACATTTATACCGAAGCCCGGAAAACTAGATTATACCGAGGCCGCTGTAGTTGTAAAGATTTTATAGCCAACTGTATATTACTTTATATGTATACATTTACGCTTTTAGAACATATACTGTAACAGTAGCCTCCAACTGTATTGATGTAAAAGTGTCTCTCTGATGACGGTCTCTGAAGACCGAAATATGTAAGGGGATAAATAATTGAAATAAGAAAAATCTTCACCAGTCACACTGCACGGAACTGTTTAACTTTTCATGATTCAAGTATAGAGTTCCTCATAACGCATTTTTCTTCCTTCTTCTATTAGTACCTTTGTTTTAGCTCCAAGCTGTCACCCCCATCACCTATTCCTCAGTCACCATGTTCTTCCCTTATGGTCGAAGTTCAGCTCTTCGCGAGTTCGCGAACAAGCTCGTTTCTTCCTGTCACCACAGCAGTATAGGGTCAGCTACACGCTCAGGCTGCTTTTCTGTAGATACCCACTGGATTGGAAGCTGCGTAAGCTTAGAATCAATCCAGACACGACTGAAAAGAGAGAAATCTATGCTCCTGCCAGGCAGAGAACTAAAATTCCCTGGTCGCCCAGCCCACAACCTAACCACTATACTGACGTACTTAACGCAATTTGTTGCCGTATTGTACAGATGTGCTGCCACTTTATGGTTATCTGAAATACCTCTCTAAAGGATCAATGACTGTTCAGACCGTTAACGAGAACTGCTTCAACTTAAACGCTTATAACAAACCTGTCAGAAAAAGCCCCTAGCAGAGCGTATCACTTGACACTGAAAACTTCAGCTTACTTCTTCATTAATAGATTAAAATGTACATTTTCACAGCACAGCAACACTTGTTCGCAACAACCATGAGCCACGAAAGTTAAACCGGTTTGACTCACGTAATGAACCACGTCTAATGCCGAGCGCACACCAAGGAAACTGGAGACAGCAACGCAACCGCGATTCCCGAGAAAAATCGCCTATTTCAAGCAGGCAATTCTTCTATATGTAATAATACAAATGACGTCGTGAATGCAACAATTTATTTGGTTGTAGATCTTTGTCTTTTCTTCCTCTACACTACATGTTTCGGCCCTAATTGGCCATCATCAGGTGTATTTTTCACTACGTAGCTGTCACACTGCACACAGTCCAAATCTAAAACATCAGCCTGTCAGTTTTGTTTTAAAATCTCGCCAACACGCGCTCGTCAATTTGATTTTAGAATAACAGTTTAAAATTTCTAAAATTCAAAGTTTTAAATCCCAGGAACACCTGCTCTTGTCTACATGTGCTGCAGGGGCTATTTCTTGTTTTCAGCACCGTTCATGTATTATTCTGTGCAGGCTCCCTGTGTGTGTGTGTGTGTGTGTGTGTCGCTGCTCATCGGAAAAGACTGCGAAGTTAGTGCCAACTTTGGCGGATATAGGATGTCGGGTGATCAGGACAACGGGCCCCCACGGCCGTTAATTTCGGTTTTCTAGACCGGAACTTTTACGAAATATATAAAAATATGAGTATATTAATACTCGTACTTGAATTTATGATATAACTGACTCAGTATATTTTTCATATTTTCATTCTATTATGACATATTGCCTGATTTTCTGGGGTAATTCACCCCTCTGCATCCATACCTTTAGACTACAGAAGAGGGTAATAAGAGAAATCACCAATTCTAAAAGTAGAGATTCTTGTAGGGAGTTGTTTAAGCGATTAAAGATTCTGCCCCTTTACTCACAGTACATTTTTTCCAATTTGTTATTTGTGGTCAAAAACAAAAAAATCTATTTTTATCTAATTCTGAGATTCATACAATCAACACAAGACATAGTAATAATCAAAAGCCATGTGGGATTTAATCAAAGAAGAATTAGGCAATCAGCAAAAAGTTCCAAAGAACATTGAAATAGAAGTGACTGGAACAGCTATACAGAATCCCAAAGAAATAGCCAATGTTTTTAATGATTACTACACTAACATTGCCCAGCATATCCGGAGTAACAATCCGATAGCACAAAATAATGTAGACAGGATAAATACAATAAATTACAACAGCAATAGCATGTTCTTAATCCCAACCACTGAAAAGGAGGTGGTAGACATAATTAAAACACTGGGTAATAAAAAGTCAACGGGCATAGACGATATTCCAGAGTTCATTATTAAAAAATGTCATTCTCAACTAGCAAACGCTCTAACATACATAATAAATCTGTCATTTTCATCTGGTTACTTCCCTGACCAACTAAAAATAGCAAAAGTGAAACCTTTGTATAAAAAAGGTTGTACTGCTACTGTTGATAACTACAGGCCAGTATCATTAATTTCTGTTTTTTCTAAAATAATTGAAAAAATTATGCACAGGAGACTTCTATCATTCATAAATAAGTATAGCATAATTAACAACAAACAACACGGATTCTGTAAAGGGAAATCAACACATACAGCAATCACGGAATTTACAAAGATGGTCTACAAAGCACTAGATGAAAAAGAAGCAAGTATAGGGTTATTTTTAGATTTATCAAAAGCGTTTGACCTAGTAGACCATGACATATTACTAAGAAAAATGGCAAGAATGGGAATACGAGGGGTTACACTAAGGTGGTTCCAAACATATTTAAAAAACAGGGAGCAAGAAGTAGAAATTACATACAGATGTAAACAAACTAATCGAATCAGTAATTACCTATCCCGAAAGAGACCCATTAGCCATGG